ACACAGTACATCCTTTGGAGGCAACATATGCAAGCATAGTTAATACCGGTGTAATCTTGTTTTGATTAAAATAGTATTTCTGTGAAGCCACAGAAGTATTTCAGATCGGCTAAGAAGATTTAGCCAATCTGATGACTGTACCCGAGTCGTTGATGTTGTCCACAATTTGACAACTAAAAATCTGTTTGCAGTTGCATTTACATGGTAATTTCAACTGTTGGATATAAATGAAAGCAGCTCTCACCAAAATATCAAATCTCGAAGAAACAGACTAAGAGTTGTAAACGCAAAGATGTTTATTTCCATACAAAATAAAAATCAAAGTGAGGAATTGCAGAAGCATAAAACACCAGAAAATACCAAATGATTTCAAATCCAAAGAAGACTAAATGAAACAAGAACAAAGGAAAGTTATCGCCTCTTCTGGAAGATGTTGCCTCTTCCAATTCCACCACGACCTCGTCCTCTTGCAGCCACTATAAAAAGGTAAAGAAAACAAAACTATAACAAAAATGTACCAAAAAATGTGTGGTTAGAAAATTATCACAAAGAAGTACCAAGCACAGCACAAGTACAGAAAAGAAGCATGAATAGGAGATAAACATATATAAAGCAATCGCAAAAAACAGCACGCAGTTCAACCATTTCCTCCTGGATTTTGTTACATAAAAACATTTTTATCAGTAAACACAATTTAAAAACTTATTGACTTAACCAAGCCAAAGATGCATGAAGTATTTTTAATACAAGTACAATATTATGGAAAAACGGCTTCCCTACTCACCTTGTGCTTTTAGAATGGCAGCTTTGCCTCTTCCTGCGCCAGAACCTTGGTTCTTGTTCTTCATGCTCTTTAACATGGGAGCATTCTTTAACATATCAGGTAGTATCAGAAAGCGGATTTTGCTTCCTCGGATGTAGACCTGTTCCAACTGCGCGACCCGACCATCCCTATAGGTCACGGTAATGTTGGACATCTATTGTAAAAGCAAAGAAAAAGGAAGAAAAGCTTTAGAAGTTTAGCTTGCATGTCATTATGCGAGGATGAGGACTAAAATTTCCAATCCCACTTATTTATTTGGCCACTTCTGCAAATCCAGCAAAATTAATGCACATAAAGAAAGCATTTCACTAACATCTGCCAGTATCACTTGTAATTATTTTCCCAACTTTTCTGTTATTGCTTTCTTTGAGCCATTGGAGTCATCATTAGTGTCAAATGTGGGCAATTACTGCAACAAGACATGATTCAACAAGGTGGATATTATATTGGTATGCAAAAAGTGAGGGAATACATTAGCTAATACCACATTCCAAAAGGTCATTTACACTTTTAATATTTCATATTAATATCATGACAGAAAAAAATGCATAATTTTCATGTTTAGAAAACATGACCACAGAATAAAAACACAACACTACTTTTGGAACAATAATAGTCGATATGGTCCAGGTTTACTGAATGCAAATTCATTGTTCCCTCCATTCAAAGCATGGTGTTATAAAGGCATCGAAGTAACAACATTACAGCACACTGTGAGGATTTATTTGGCATAGTGAATAAATATGCTATGATGACCAATGAATAAACCAAGCACTGAAGAACATCCCTGTAATGGCTTTCCAATACCATCTTTGTGCTCATAAAAATGCTGTTAACACAATGGTTAGTCAACAGGAAACAAAATAGAACAATGTACCTCTTTCATGTCACAGGATTTAAGCTCTTTATACACCACCAGTTATGAAAATAAGCTGATAGCATGATTTACATACTTTAAGGAATTGAAGTAGGGAAGGACAAAATAACTATGCCCAATACAAAATTGGGGTACAAATTAACAAAGGGGCAAATAACCCTGAATCTTAAGTCGCCTGACATCATTTGCTGTTGGTCTAACCTATGAAGGCAACCCATCAATATAGACAAACCAACCTGACAGTTCATGTTGTCCTCAGCTTCAATCAGCTTGCCTCTGTACACCTCTCCTGTGTTGGTCTCACAGGTCACAATGTGTCCTTCGGCCTCATGCAGGACCTTGATTGGCACGCCAATGGACATTTTTAACAGTCTTCCTGAAATACAACACAAAGCAAAACTTTACTATATCAGATGCAATATTATAAAATAATATCCTTTATTCAGTTCTCTAAAGAAATTCAATGCATCAGCAGCAAGGCGACAGGCCAACGGAAAACATACACCTCTTCAAATTGGTAATAATGAATAAAAAGTTAACAGTCTAATATCAAATATACTGCAGAAACCCATAGTTATAAAAATACCTGCAGATCCACAAAAAGATAATAAAAAAAAAACTTTACCTTGCATACAAAAAAAAAGACAACAAATGTCAATCTGCTTACTTTAAAATTACTTAAAATTACTAGCAGAAGTTGGCTGCCAGATTTGTCCAGGAATATCTAAATGAGCCAGCAACTCCACCAATGAACATATATATTTTTTTTCCTCATGTGCAAAAGATATGTACTCAAATATTGCATTAACTAGTAGATAAAGTCAGGGTTATTAAGTTGTGAGTGAAAATTGGAGTTGCATAAAATTGTAGGGGGAGTCTGTCCAGAAAAAAAATCCAAAAATGTATGTCCAAGCAGCACCCAAACACAAAAAGACCAGTTTTAAGTTACACTTTACAATTTCAATCACACTGTTAATACATGTCCTGAAACACCACAAATGAATAAAAGCGAATAAATGTCAACAAAAGGTAATTTTTCATGGAGGATAGGATTTACTGTTTTATTAGCAAATATTAATGAGCCATCGCAGCTCTATTATAAAAAAGGTTGAATCATTCAAAATTATAATCACTAATACTACTCTTTAGCATGAAGCAAGCAATTACATCTCGCGTAGAAAAACATAATCGGTGATTATAAAGTGAAAAGTTGACTGCTAGCTAACGACGTTAGCCACAATAGCTAACGATGCTAAGATACAACTCTTACTGACCAAACAAAAAATCTTCGAGATAATGCACATTTAAAGTTAATAATAAATCAAATACGCTGAACAATTAGACAGTTTCACACGTCCCAATTTGAATTATGCCCACTTATTTATGAAAATAACCAAACGAAGCCATGATAACAATTGAATAAATTAGCTTCAAAATTCTAACTCATGTCCAAATCGTGTTTGCGTAAAAACAAGTCGGAGGCAATTTTCTTAGCAAAAATTAAGATAAAGATGTGCAATTACCTCGGGTTTGCCTTGAAAAGAGGTTATTTTCTTGTTACTTTTGCTGTAGTAATTCCGCAACGTGCGCTTGTCGCTACTACTGCGCCTTTTGAGCCTTTTTCCTGCTACCCACAAAGCAACGAGGGGTCAACGTAAGTGCTTCCTGCAGCGCTTTCTGCGACGCATTGTGGGATATGGAGTTTTTTCTAACACAAAACGTAACCCTTTTAGGTAGGTACAAAAAAGTGTGAATGACAAGAATGTAAAGCGGAATATTTTATCGTATAATTTTTGACAGCAGCTGTTGTTACCTAGAACAATTGGTCAGTAGTTGGTGAAGGAAGTGAGTTTGTTTTAACACCCCGAGGAAGAAAAGTTATAATTGTATGGAGTCTTCCTCACCTGATGGGAGGAGAACTTTACATTTTTCTACCTATCCAAAAGAGACTTTTGATCTTAATGAGTTTTTTACTGGTTAAATAAAAGTAAAAAATAAATGATGAATTACATATTTTATTGGTGATAATTCAACGGTCCATGTAAGATACAGATAACCAGGAAATGAGATGCACTGCAGAACTCATTAACCACAAACTGGAGGTTTACTTAGCCGGAGATAGCTACTCATGTATGAATAGTAAACATGGGTCATTTTGCTTCCTCTGGAACCAACCAAGCTACACTAAGCTTATATAATTTTATTTTATTATTATTATAGGAAGTGCATTAGGCATGAACTACTTTTTTACCCATGCTGAAATTAGGCTCGTCAAAGTCAGTTGTTTATTTAAGATTGATTTAAAAAAAAAAGCTTTAGTCAGAGTGTGAATGTAAATAACAATAACAACAACAACAACAAAACTTCCATAGAAAGGAACGTCTGATATAGTAGCACTGATTTGCATCTTCTTTCTGAAAGGACACAAAACAATTTTTCATCATGACACAGTTATGGTTCATGGTTGACATTTACAACTTTATGAGATTCCATAAAGAGGCTAAATGGGATCCCATCAAGGTGCTACGTGAAACTTTTATTCTCTTGAAAAAATAACATTTGAATCTGACATGACCATCTAATTTTCATAAAACCTATAAACATAAATAATTAAAATAGGATTGTTTGAGCCATTTAAATACCACATATATCTGATGACAAGGTTTGTCAAGCCACTGATATGCATAGGATTTGAATCCACACATATAGCACGTGTTATGTAGAAGCCAAGCAATGTTTATTTTGGGAGACGTGTGTCTGGGATTGCTGTGAGGCACATAAAAGTCGCCTATTGTGGGCTTTTGCTACAGAGGAAGGACTTTTTAATGGGGAAGGAGAAAGCATAATGGGATAATAAAAGACATCATCAAATGAACCTTCATTTGATTTTCATTGCATTTGGCTCATTGATTGGCGTCAGCAGCCAGGCAACTCTGTAAACACCTCATGGATTGTAGGCTGTGGTTGTGTGCGTGGAATTTACTTGTGCATATGTGTGTGTTTCTATTGTTCTTTATGTGTGCAAGCCTGATTCAGAAATTAGTGACCTAACACGTCTATAGAGAGTTCACAATGTTCAAACAAACCTAATGTTTCATTAGGTAAAAGGTAAAAGGCCTTGGTATTTCAGTGCCTGTTATTTGTGTCTCATAGATGCTGTTAGGCAGTTATTTAATTGATCAAGGTATTGTTATAGAAACATTTAATTACTGTAAAAGGGAGCCGTACTTAAATGAATGTATTTAGGTATTTTTCTCTTACTCAAGAAACAGAGACAAAGAGCACTGATTACAATAGAAGTATTTGTGTGTTTGACAACAAAACACCAAACAATTCTTTTATTCATGTTTGAACAGAAAGGAAGCATCTGATTATACATCCAGCTTTGTAAGAAATGCTGTTTCAGTGTTTGAAAGTTAAACTACAATGCATGGCATGGAGCAGTACAAGGCTGACTGAAGATTTGTACAGTTATTGACATCAGTGATAAAAATCTGTAAAACGTTTCAATTTGATGACATTTGTTCAGTAGGGTGGAATACATGTTAAGAAACTTTTTGTCCTCACAAAAACTTCCCAGCACCCTTGCTGTCAAGGATCAAGGCTCTTTTTGCCAATGTGAAAGTCTTTTTTTGTAATGTTTTCAGTTTTGAGCCAACATTTGTATATGGGGTCAATGAAAGTATGAAGTGGTTTGAATAATTGATCACTTAAGAGATTGATTATAGGTCCAATGGTAATTTTTTGTATGGGTTTGAAGCAGGACAGCTTTGGCCAACTGGTTTTGTTTACACAGTTTTTATTTAGTAAACCCATCAGAGTCCAAATAAATAAATAATAATAATAAAAAAAAAAAAACATGTGCAAAGGCCCAGATAGCATACACACTGCCTGATCAAAATCAACATTTTTATGTTTAGAGTAGCAAAACTATTTTTTTACTTCTTTACAGGGTCTAAAAATGATCACTGTATGTATCATTGTTTTGTTTACAATATTATTTAACATTTTTGCTATTGCTTACTGTATACAGCCTGCATTTATTAGGCATTTCCATGGATGTCACTTAAACAACACGCAGAGAAAATATAAGCATCAGCTCATATTAAAAAGTGTCTCCTGCTTTAAGCGTCTTTATATTGATGTAGCCTGACCTTCATCTTTAATTTGGCTCATATCGAAAATAAAAGTCTAAGTAAATAAAAACAAGCCTTATGCTATGAGAAAAAAAATAGCTATTCTGTTCAGTGTTTTTTAAAATTTGTTTATTTTTTTTAAAGAAATTGTCTTCACAGGATTAAGTGTCGTGGTGGCGGAAAAATTTTTATATATGAACGTAAACGTCATGACACTTCTGTTATGTCTGTGGAGTTGCAACAATCAATCTTTTTTACGGAGACAGCTTGAACATTAACAAAATCAATGCAGCTTCCTCTGTCTTTCAACTCAAAAACATCTGCCGCTCCCTCTTCACATGAAGCAGATTCAGCTTCATCCTGTGCACGAAATGCCGTGCTTGGGTTCTCCTGCATCCCTGAGAAGGTGTCACTTTGCCCTTTGTATCCATTGTGGATGCAGCTGCTTGGCAGTACATCTTGAGTTGAAGACCAACGGCTGGAAGTTCTGTGATTAACTTCGTATCTTGATGGATTAGAATCAGAATCCAGGATGTAGCTATTCACCATTGTGTCACATGTTGAAACCTCTTTGCTCATTTGGGATGTCCGTCTGATGCTGATGCAGCTGAAATCTCTGCTGTCAAAACTCATTGTCCCAGTACCACTGCTGGTTGGCTGCCTCAGAATGTACTTGTAAAATATCTTCCAAAATGTGTGTCTAAACTCCCTGATGCGGTAGGCATAAATAAAGGGATTCACCACAGAGTTTGCGTGGGAGAGGATGATGGCGATGTTCATTACCCAGATTGTTGGACGCTTACAGCCTTTGCACAAGTGGTTCAAGCAGTTGATGATATGCACAGGAAGCCAGCAGATAGCAAATAAGCCCACAATAATTGCCAATGATTTGGCAGCATGCACATCCTTCTGCAGAAAAGAATGAGAAGAGTTCGAGGAGGAAGGTCTTCGTCCAAGAACAGGTGAGAATGAAACTGTGATGCTCATTCGACGGAGCTGCCTCCTCGCCACCAGAAATATTTTGATGTAGATGACCAGCATGACCAACAGAGGGGTCAGCACAAAGCCAAAGAAATTAAAATAGGTCATATAGTCCATAGGAACAACTGTCTCAAAAAGGCATTGGGTCAGACCTTTTGGGCAGCCTTTTTTTTCTGAGCTGTGAAGTGTTAAGTTTCGGCCTGTGAAACAGAGGCAAGAAAGATTTAATGTTAAATCCATAGAAAGGCTTTGAGAATGATATAGGCTTAAAGTGGGTTTAACTGGAAGCACAATAAACAGAATACCAAGATTCATGAATGTTAGTAGTTATCTTTTTACAGAAGAATGGCAAAAAAAAAGAATAGATAAATGGTTTGAAAGAGCAAAGAATTTGGATTCAATTAAGAAGCCAAGTTCAGAAAAGGGGAATATCGTTTAAGGGAACATTGAGGATGTTTTATTATATTTGGAGGCCATAAAACAAGCTTGTAATAATTTGGCAACTAGACTAGAGGTCGTTATCCTTAGGGCACATAGCCCTGCATGGTTTAGATCTTTTCCTAATCCCTTCTTCTCACAGAAATGTAAACTTTTTCTTTTGAGAAAAAAAAATTCAAAATTCAGTAAAAAAACATATCTTTTTTCAGCTGTCCTAATGCTAAATTTCAAAATGTATTTTGATGACAGAAAAATATGAGTGACAGAAGAAAAAAATGGCTGAATTTGATCTCTCACCTGTGTTCCAACCAATGAGTGGAGTCATGCCGATCACCGCTGATAAAGTCCAGCACAGTGCTATGATGCACTTTGCTCTCAGGCCTGTTACCAGACTGGTGTACCTAAATGGTCGAACAGAGCACAGAGATACATTATAGGGCAGAAAGCTTTGCTGAACCTCTTTATGATTACATCCCTCAAAGAACGGGTCAATATTTGCCAATTTTAACTGGATGTGCACTTAAATCTAACTGCATTATTTATTTATTAAAACAAATTGATGGTTTCTTAAAAGAAAAACATTACAGTAATCAGAACACATTTCCTTTTATGGCTCGCCTTTCCTATTTATGGGTTGATGTTTAAACACACCACAATCATGAATCACGAAAATGTTTGAAAACACTTTCTTAAAATTCTGTTTCTCATTTTCTTTGCAACAAATCATTATCAAATCCAATTTGCACTTCCCTGCCTTTTATAGGCACTTCCTTCTTTAACACATTAGATATCACAAACACATTGTGATATCTTATGCCTCATTGTGAATTAGATTTCCTTTTTCGATAGGCAGCTCATGCATCTTTTTTTTTACATAGATCTTTGTAGTGACATAGGCTACGCAGAAAAATTCCCCACACTAAAGAATCTTCTATAACATTATTCTAATACATCTTAAATATTAAAATGTAAAAATAGTGGGGATCTCAAAACGACAAGTCTCTTCTTTCAACAATTTCTAATCAATGACAAACAAATTTAGTGAAGGTTTTACAAGTCTTTTATTGTAGTTTTTGTGCCTATATCAATCTAGGCTCAAAATTGATATACTATAATATTATATTATAGTATTTTCAAATATTATAATATAGTATAGTATTTCAATTAGGTAAATGTAACCTCTGCTTATTTGAGCAGAGATGGGTAGAAAATAGTCATCCCCCCTACCCAAGTCTCCACCCCATGTCAAAACTGTTTATACTTTAAGAAAATTGTCTTGTTAAAAAGGCCTAAATTCTTTTTAATAACACATTTCAGAGGGAAATTTATTCCATGTAGTCACCACTAATTATTTTTGCTAAAGGTCCCGGAACTGTTTTTGGATCTAAATATGAATGAGAACATTTCCAAATATAAACAAATTCAGCTGGAAAACTAAAGTAAACATTAGTAAGGGCAAGTCCTTGAGTCATTAGTTCAAATACTCAACACTGTTACTTTGTTTTTGACTGAGATCCTGTGTGGGCAGGTTGGCAGCCTCATGGCACCAGTATTAACACTAAGTACACACTGAAGCCATTATCCAACTGCTTATGCAAATGCATCACCTGTTGTGGCTTACAAGATGAAACTTCCTTAACAGGAGAGAGCAGTGGTTACTAACCAACCACTCATTGTTCTGTAAAAGCACCCAGATTAGCAACAAGAAAATTCAAGGCAGCACTTAATCAATATTGATTTAAATGAGTACATCAAATCACATTCTGCAACTTTACTTCCCCTCAAGGCAGAAAAAAAAAATCTGTTCGTCATGGTTGAATCAACGTAAATCTCTCCAGATGAGGCTTAATTATTTCAGTTTTTTCTGAAAGTGAGCATTTGCATGTTTCTGGGCACACTTAAATATCATGTCTTGGGGCCTTCTTTGCTCTGACCTGAGCGGATTCTTGATTGCAATATAGCGGTCCACAGCGATGGCCAGCAGACTGAAGATGGAGCTCTGTGTGAGCACTAGCAGAAAGCAGGCGATGAACAGGCAACCGTAAAAATCAGCACAGAAACCCACACTGGATATGGATGAAAAAAAAGAACCATTACCGAACAAAAAGACAGCGATCACAACAATTAGAAGAAATCATCAGTGGATGTATCTCATCCTGTAATGTAATATTTCAGCGGTACAACATTAACCCTTGCCCTAAATTAGATAAAAACAAGGAAATGATACCTAATTGTGATAGCGAAGGGAATTGCCAGTAGCCCCACAGCGATATCAGCGACTGCTAGTGAAACCACAAAGTAGTTGGTGATGTTCTGCAGGTTGGAGTTCAGGCAGACGGACCAGCATACCAGGGTGTTCCCAGCCACAGCCAGGAGAGCGATCAGCAGCTCCAAGCCAATGTAAACCACCTGGTGGAGGTCCAGCATGGTTGTTTTTTCCTCTTTTTTTGCTTTCCTTGTACTTTCATCCCATCCAGTCAGCTCCTTGTCTTGTTTTCAGACACAACATTTTTCTTGCTAGACCGTTTGGTGCGACTTGAGACAAAAGGGATTGTGTCACATTGACAGTGACGCAAAGCAGAAAGTTCCCAGCACAAGCGTCACACGCTCGATGCCGAATTACGCTCGCACTTTTTACTGTCACGACTGCTGTGCTAGGCTGTTAGTCTTTCTCTTTTTCAAGTTTTGTTCAGTGAACAGTGATACAGCTGAGGATGATGCATCTAAAGGGGCTACTAAAGTAGAGAAGTAACCTGGAGAGGGGGGAATACAGAGAGTACATGGTGTTAGTGTGTTTAGCTTGTATAAACAGATTACACTGTGTTCAATGGACATGCAGTTACACCCACCCACCCACACACACACACGCATCAAAAAAGCCATCTATCACTGCATGACAAGGATACAGGGTCAAATCAAACAAGACAACAAGAGGCTTTTTATTTAGGGACAGTTTCCCAAAATTCCTTTCCTTATCATTTGAGATACTGACATACTTTTCACAGATAATTACACAAATAACTCAAACACCAACTGTTTGATGTTATTGCATAATCAAAGGAGCTCTGCAGAGTTCTTTTTATGGAAATTCCTGCATGTGATATGCAGATTAGGAGTTCTGACACAAACTTGTAACAATGTCAACAGACTTTAGTAATAATGACCTCAGACATCTGAGCTCAACTGCACAAAATAAAAACAAGGAAATGAAGAGCAGAAGTAAAGCAAAATGAACGTAAGCTCAAAGATCAGATAAGATGAAATGTAACGATTTAAAGAATTATGGAGCATTTTGACAGGATTTATTTCCATCAACAAAATTAATTGTACTTCATGTGAAACACCCACATAAAATAGAAAATTGCAATGATGAGAAAAAAAATGTATATGATTTATGACAATGTTAATTTTTTCTGTTTGTTGTGAATGTTCTGTAATCCTTATGTTCTGCTGCAAGTCTTAGCCAGGGTTTTCTAGCAAAATATTTTTTTTAAATTTCATGGGGATTCTCCTGGTGACATAAAGTGTAAATAAAAAAAAGTAAATGAGATAAAATAGTTGTGTACACTAAATCTGTAAGTGTGGCAAGAAGAAAAACATTTTTTGCCAGATATTTTGGCACCAGTGGCCTTTATTGAAAGAGTAAAAAAATACTGCTGTCATTGTTAAATTCTGCTGAATTTTCAGTTGATTCCTGAATGAAATGATTCACTTTCCTTATTCCAACAATGAGCTATTTAGAAAAATGTTAGCATGAGTCAGAATACAATTTAATGGATGCCTCTTTCTTAATTTTCTTCTCGTGCTGTTTGCTCCAAACGTATTTGGATCTTTAAAAGTTGAAATAAGTTCTTAAATTAGTCGGTTAATACTGAAATGTTACGACATCTTCTTGTTCTCAGTTTGAAGCTTAGAGCACTTTTACGTCACGGTTCTTCTGTGATTAAGTATATATTTATCCACATTGACACAAACACTTGTGAATTGATTGGTAGTCATGGAATAAAATGAGAAGTTTAGTTACGCTGATCAGTAAGGGGTGAAAAGGAAAAAACAAAATGGAAACAACTTCTACAGACCCCTGATGATTGCTTAAAATGTCACATTTACACTTCTGACATTGACTTAATGCAATGAACAAAATTGCTCATTTTGTTTTACTTTTGTTTTATACGACCTATTTATATGACAAAAAATAAATTTCATGAACGATCAAGCGAGCAACATGCAAAAAAATCTATGTTAATGATTAAGAGAGTAGTTCTTCAATAGAATCTTTCCCAACAAAAGATGAAAACGAGACAACGTTGCAAGATGCCACTGGAAAACATTCAAAATGGAAAGAAATGGTAACAAAACTAACAAACAGAAAATATGAAATGAAACTTGAACCCTGTTTAACATGATCTTAGTTGTGTTGTGGTGCCAATGAAGTGACACAAGGTTTGTTTATAGCTGCAGTGCAATAGGGTAAATATGCCGAGGAAAATTATGCTTGCTCACACTTCAACAATGACGCTCGCCTCCCAGTGAAAGATCTTTCCGCTGTAAGATAATGAAATATTCTTATGTTGCTGAGTCATTCCCCTATTCACAGCAAAACTGAGCTACAGTAAAACTTTCTTTCTCTTGTCCTTAGAGTCTCCCAGATGCCTTTTGGCAAACTCCAGTCAAGCGGCTTTCTCATTGCCTCTTTCCTATAAGCTTTGATTGGTGAAGAACCCGAGTCTCTTCCATCTTGGCTGCTGAAGATTGTAACTCTTTCTGAGTAATCATAGTCAAGTCAGGCGTATTTGAATATCACATTTCAGCAACAAGGAAGTTCAAAGTGCTGACATGATGCAAAAAACAAAAAACACAATAAGCAATTTTGAAACAAGCAGCATTTGACAAAAATAATTGTCATCATACATCAGATATTTAAAACAATGTTTCTTTGTTGTGACCTACATAAAACGGTCTGGTTGTGGCTTTCTTTAAATAGTTATTTTTGTTATTTTTCCACAAAGAAAGCTATGTTATTTTACGTCTACTTCACAATTACGCACCTCTTTGTGTCAGTCTACCACATAAAATCCCAATAAAACACACAGAAGTTGGTGGGAATTTTTTGTGGGAAAAAAGTGAAAATGTTCAGGAAGTGTGACTTTTGCAAGAAAGGGTAAGTAAGTCTTGTCAACACTTCTCAAAAAACAATTGATAAAGATGAGAGTTGATTATCTATCTGAGATCTAAAAGCATCTGTGGAAAGCCTCCCTAATTCTCATGCAGTGTAAAACAAGAGCCTAAGCATGCAACTGCTATAAACATCCCGGGCAGTCCTGAACACCTATACAATGTGCATGCTTCCCATTATGTATTGGCTCAGTAGTGTGTCATCTAACACTGGAAGCTGACTAACTAACACCTGACTCCACTGAGAAATCAGTAAAGTATGCAAAAAAGGGGAAAAGATGGCTCAGAGCAACAATCAATGCAAACACTAAAAATACAAAGGGAGAACAGAAGTTTGCACAATTTACTTCCCTTTGAAATATTTCTCATTTTGCTATTTTTAAACACGTTTTGAGACACTTCATTAAACATACCCCTCTGAGCCACATGCAAACGTGCAGCTCCACCATCAGTAATCCAGACGTGCAATCTGTTTCTGCTATCGCAAAGTCCAACTTTTCCTCTGTTGCTTTGCTGTTTAGGAATTCAGAATGAAGGATTTATCCAGTCGCAGTAAAAGACCTCTTGAGGTTGCAGCAGATTAGAGTGCAAATCCTCCAAAGCATGGCGAAAAGCAAAAACATTTGATCAAAGTCTGCAATATATCAGAAAAGACCGTTTTCTAGCTGATCTCACTGACAGAAAGAGAGACAAGAAGCACTCAGGACTTTGATTATGCCTATATAAGAAACAGAGGAAGAGGTGATAAGAAAACGCACGTCCTGCTGGAAAAGATCTGCCACTGTCCTGTCAATCAATGTATCAGCTCAGCTCCAACAAAGTCCAAGGAAAACAAGAAGAGTTAGAAAGGAAATGCTCATTTCCAAGAATGAGAAAAGCTGCTGGTTTTGACATATTAATAGAAACAGGTTTTTAAGACGGGAGAAACAGAAATGACAGAAGTTTCTTTAGATTTTTAGATCTCAGGAACTCAGCGCAGTGTCGTTTAATCTGAACACGGATGATAACACTATTTGCAATAAAGTATTTATTCTGACCCATTCATTTTTAGAAAAAGAAAAGGTATGTTTCTATAGCAGTACTAGACTGCTTTAAGAATAACAATCTAAATGGGTGTCAGTTGTTTCAAAGGCCCTTTCGGTTTTACAGTGTAATATCTGTAACACCCTGAATACAATTATTAGAATATCAAACTACCTTCAATCAGCTTCAATCGCACTTTGGAAAAGTAATCCTCTCCTTACCTGATGGATGAGAAAGTTGATCTCGCTGCTTCGTGGGTTTCGTTAACCCTGAAACTGCAAACAAACGAGTGAGTTACAAAGGGAGACAGGAAACATGATGAAAAAAAAAAAGTTGCAGAGATCGCGCCACAGGCGCTGCCAGTGACGGTGCGCACCGACGCGACGCAACAGGAAAACCAAGAGCCGCAGCAGGCGCTCCGCTTGCGTGCGCCTTCCCCGAAACTGCTGCAACTTTGAGGCGCGCATTTGTAGCTCCAGCGTGGAGACCCGCCCCCTCCCCGAGTGAACGGTGAAATGCACAGCATAAATTGTAATTTAAGGTAGAAAAGGCGATGTGATGAGATTTGACTAAGAGAGGGAAACACTGGTGTGTGAGAGACTGAGGTTAGGTGAAAAAAAAACACACACACACAATAAAAACGAGGCTTCAGGAAAACCACAACGGAAGATGACAAAAGTGAAACCATGAAGCAAGCAATGATACAAAACACACTGATGTGGGAAAAATTCCACCTTTACCTATTCAGTTCTTTGTTTATATGTTGTTTTTTCACTTGACTTAGTAAATAAAGACAGCATAAATGTGTTTTGAGGAAATAGTTGAGACGCTCTACCCCCTGAGTTTCCCATTTTCACTGAATTTCAGTCAGATTCTTCTTGTAGACTTCATCAAACCTCTGACAGCAAAAGTCCCATCACCTCTCACAGTTAAATGTGTTTATTTTGTTTTTAGCCTACAAAGCACCCCTCTGCCGTCCATTCATATTCTATACTTACTTGTCCTTGAAAAGCTTCAATGGGGAGTAGGAGAGGTAGGGTACACCCTTGACAGGATACCAGATCTTGCACTGGGAGAACATCCAAACTCAATGCAGTCAGGATTCAATGCAGTCCTACCAGCTCTGCAGCATGAATCCTGCAGCATGTCACTGAAATCCAGGTTTGGACTCTGACTCAGCCCAACAGTTCTACTATAATCCTTATTGGATTTGCTGGTTGTTGTAGATCATTTAACGAGGACTAGTTTGTTTCATAGATGGCACTTTGTCCCTTAATCATCCTCTAATGCAAGAGCTGGCCAGCCTGGGTTTCTGCTGTAGCAAACCACCTCCAAGGTATGACACCTCCACCTCCTTATTTCACAGCTGGTATGAGGTCATTTCCCTACAATGCTATATTTCCTCTGTTCTGCTGTCCAAACAACTCTATTTAGATGAGTCTGTCCAACGAACGTCGTTTCAGAAGCTCATCTTTCAAAATTACGTTGGTTTCTCTTTTAGCTAATATCCTGCATCAGAAACATCTGAATTTCTTGTTCAGCATGACATTGAGTCCTTGATTTGATTCATGGAAAAGGGATTCATCTGAAAGTTGGAGAATAGCAGCTAAACAGGACTGGAGTTTACACGGTTACAGATGGTAACCTGGTTTGTTCTGGCTGTATGCAGCAATATAGACCAGGTTTCTGCACACATCTATCTGGTCAGTTGAAGCCAAGATTGTAGCAATGTAGCAATAATTATAACTTGTCTAAATTAATTGAAAAATAGATGATGATCTACAATTTTGTTTCAGCTTCTTGTATGAATACTGTGAAGAAGTGAAACTATATTTTACTTAAGGTTATACTGTAGCATAGAAAGGCTTGTGCTCACACAACTAAACTAACCAAGTTAAAGTTTTTCAGATCACCGCAAAAGTAGGTCTCAGCAAAACCTCTCTGAGTGGGTGGGTCTGAACGCGCTCACCACCAAATTATTTCCACCACAACTTAAAACATGTTACTGACACACTTTCACATGCTAATCTTGCTGGTAATGTTTCGCAGCATCTCATAGGCTAGTTGTCACAAACTCATGTAATCTGAAGTACAATCAAACTGGTGGTTAGTATGAGCCCAGCAGCTTCTGCCCCAGCACATTAAATAAAATACAATAACCCTAAACTGCAGAGCAATGACTGCAGTTTAGGGCAGTGACACTTGGCTGTTGTTAGCAATTACAAAATTGAACTGTACAATATTAATTATAACAATTACAAAACATATACAAATTAAACCCCATATTTAGTTGAATTTGCAGAAAATAGATATTAAAATAGTGAGAAAAAGAGGGGACGAGCCGTCAGTAACTGTTTGCTATGGCAACCATAAACTGTCAAGAACCACTTACATCAATGCAGATCAGGAGAAAATAACTTTTTGACTTAAATTTAATCTGAAGAATAAGTCAGCCAATTTTATTTATTTTTGTTACAAATGTCACTTCTGTTATGTAAAACAAATTATATATATTGTATTATGTACTACATTTATAGTTGTTTTGTTTCAATATCCGAAGTCGTAAGAACTCTGATCCTAAATGGGTCTTGCATCCTAGATACAAACAAGATGAAATGAAATTAATTTCTAATGGCATGAAGGCTATTTTGCGCAAACTAATGAAGCTAAACTCAAAAAAAAAAAAGAGGGAGTGAAAGGAGTTTGAGGAAAATTTCTGCATGATGAATCAGTTATTGCTTTAGAATATTGTAGAGGATGTATTTTGCAGGGTTTTAATCAAAACATCTGCAAAGTGATTTGATTGTCTAAACAACATTGATGCGAGAGTTTTACGCATTTATTTATTTTTTTGCTCTTATTTTTGAATCTTCTTCCTTACCCTCCATCTATCCAGGTGTATTTCAAAATAAATATTTGCTGTAAGTACATGTAAACGGGTTTTAGAGTAGCAGCAATGTAAATGTGAAGCTTGTCAAAATTTATTTGTTTGTTCTTTGACTATTTTTTTATGTTTCTTTAGACATTTATTGATGTTTTAAGTTCTGTTACGGTGGTTACCTCAGTAACCGGTAACTGACAGTAATGGTATGTATTATTATAAGCTCTGTGTTTTCTTTACAAATATCATATTTTACAAGATATTTTGGACAAATGTGATAGTGTACAGTGTCTCTTCTGTAAACTTGTGTATATTTTTTAAATGTCATCATTGTTAACGTTGCTCATTTCAGCTTGTTTAATTGCACAAGATAAAACTGCTTCTAACTGCTTTATCTGCAGCTATTGCTTTGTAGTTTGTAAAGGGATATTTATTGGATTTTATTTGATGTATAGGGGGCAGGAGCTGCTAGACTGGCGATAACCACCTACTTGTTTTATTATTTTCTTAAGAATAAACACTATGAACCTGAATGTGTCTGTCGTGGAGTCAGCCTATTGGATCTGAGACGAGGAAAGAAGGGTTACATACATATGCTTTGCAGGTTTGCACCAAAAATCATACATTTGGCTGATTCATTAGTTTCAAGCAGGCACAAGAGGAGTGCAACAAGCTCTTTGTAGATACAGGAGATTTTATTTACTATTTTTGTGTACAAACATAGGCTGCAAATGCCTCTCAAACATGTTTTACCCTCAGAATACAGTAATCCTTTTTACAGTTCTACAAGCAGAACACTGAATAGTTAAACAGAGACAAAAAGACTCAAAAATAGAAAGTGACATAGTTGGTCAACATGTCTCATCGAGGAGTTTAACATTATGTCCTCAATTTTTAAAAAATAACTAGAACATCGCTTAGTAGGCAAATTTATTGATGGCATGATTTCTGAAAAGTGGCAGCAGAAGGTTGTGTCATGTCACCTATAATATGGCAATAAATACCAGGATCTGATGTAATAAATGCACATTTAAAGCAATATGCACCGTCAGGCAAGCCCACAGAAAAACTTGAGATTTTTGGCTGGGACAGACTGTGGTGAGAACATGCAAGTACAGTGACAGACGGAGCAAAACAATACATTTAGAGCATTATAAGACTCTCCTCTACCACGAACTGACAGGTCAGATTTGCAAAGAGGTTAAAGGTGTACCAGCTTGATCCAGAGAGCTGCGCAATAAATAACAGGGAAACCAAATTATGTATTCTCTAGTATCATACATATTATACACTCCATGGGAAAAAAGGAGTCTGAGTTATTTGAACCTGCACTTTCTTTACTGTTGTCCACATCATATAGATAAACAATCACAGTGGGCAGTCTGTTGTTTGAAATAAATAAATACGCTGTGCTGACGTTCAGGAACTGAGTGTTCCCGCACGTTGGAAAACATATGCTATTTTTCTGTTCATAAAAAATATTTGCGCCTTTTCTACATTTTGTCACATCACAACCAGAAATGTCAATGCATGTTATTGTGATTATATGTGATGAACCAACACAAAGGAGTGCCTAGTTGTCAAACAGAAAGAAAACTGACACATTGTTTTCAATTGTTTCATGCAACAATACGACTCCTTCATTCCATTGGTCTGAAATGTGTCATCCAAAATTGGGAAGAGTATGTCTATGCTTCAAACCTACCAAGCCACTGTAAACACATGGAAGAAAGTGATGTGCACAGCTGAGACCAAAAATAAACAGTTTTACCTGCATTCATCTTCGAGCAAAAAAAAATCGACCTTAATTCCAGCCATGGCTACAATGGAGCAGTTTCTATCAAAGCAAATTTTGGGGTTGCAATGACCCAGTCAAAGTCCAAACCCAAATCCAATTGTAAATTTGTGACAAGAGTTGAACATTTCTGTTCACAGATGCCCAATAATTTCAGTTCCTCTTGCACTGTAACATTCTTTACAGCCTCACAATATAAATGTGCATCACATTTTTTTTAAAGCAGGTATTCTCATCTTTTACACTACATAAGTATACACTATTTTGTGTTGGTGAAGCATATAATCCTAATAAAATACATTTAATTTGAGGTTGAAAATAATAAATGTAAAAATGTTTCAGCAGTGTGAATATTTTTGCAAGACAATGTGTCTACAGAGCTACTTGGTGGTTCTTGTACTGAGACAAAATTAGAACAAAATGTTTTAAATACAGCAGAAGAAGCAGATTAATTTCCTAGAGAAACCACATTATATTAAGACATTTTTCTAACATTAATTTGACATTTTACCATAAATAAACAGATCAAGCAGACCATCTTATACCGAACTAGAAGGAATCATAAATAAATCAGCACAAAAGGCATTATAAGAGAAAAAACTAGGTGTTGCACTTAGAGGATTAACTTTAGCACAGGGTTTCATTCACTTACAGCATTAGAGGTCGGATGAAAGAATGCTCATGTACAGAATGAGCTAAGACCATGCTTGTATTTTAAGGTCCTGTCTTAGCCTATAAGTAAAAGATGAAAGATGTGTGGCTGTCCTCAGCAAAGGCAACAAGAGGATGACTGTCTTTCTTAACCACCAGCCTCTCGGCTGACATAAAGACAAAGCAAATTTTGGTGGTAAACAAAAGCAAGTGTTGAGGCACAAAAGGGTTGGATAAGTACAGGCAGCTGGGACTTTGTATGAAGGAGAAACATGACCGAATGTCCACATTCTAAACGAGGCTGAAAGCATGCAACTGTGAGTGAAACGTAGTCAAATTATATTGCGGAAGCAAAAATATCACGCCAGCAGGAAAAACCCAGAAAATAAAATAAGATCAAAACAGTGATTTCAAATATCCCAAGAGGCTGATTGCTTGCTTTTGTTCTTACGTACTTGTTCGTATGCTACGTTTCTGTCGATAATCATAGTTAAAAAAAATAAATAGTAAACCCTTTTTAGCAAGGTCCCTGATAGACACCAGTCAACCACAACAAAAGAAGCACATCAGCTCAGATGCATTAGCACCAATTTTTACATTTTTCTTCCAGGAAAAGATTCTACAGGGAGATTTCCGATTTGGATGCATTTTTGATATTTATCAAAATTGATTAACTGCAAGACTCAAAGCTTTGCCATTGTCAAATGACAGGTTATCACAGATTTTCTTTGATTTATTTATGCTTCATAAATGAGGGCTGCAAAAAATTTTAATAAAAAGATAAAACCTGAAAGGTCAAAAATCCAATCAATCGCCCAAGGCATGTCTGTGCAAGCCATTTGTAAAATGGTGACCATGCAAGTTTTTGTGGGATCTCAGCAGGGAGGAGGACCTATGAGATCCTCACAGTATGAAAACCTTGAGTAAAAAAACTACAATTTTACAGCAATGTGGTGTTTATACAAAAAATTAAAAGCAAAATCTGTACCCTGATCTCATTACTTTTAAAACACAAAGGCAACCAACTGCTAAAATAATGGAACATATTCATTTTACATTTATATGTTATCTACAAAATATTAGTCATTTCGAAGTATTTTATTTAAATAATCACCTTCTAAAATGCTGGGGAAAAAAATCCAAAAAACCCCCAAAAGAGCAAGTAGTGGTATTCAAGTGCTTATTGAGCATTTCAGGCATTCTACTTTTTACATAAAGTAAAACAAGTAGAATGAGAGGATATAGGCTGGTAAATTAGTCAAGCTATCTGCTCCACTGGTCTTTTAAAACTTTTACTTTTAAAAGGGTAATGGGCGACACTTTGTTAGTTTCTGTGCAGTGATTGTCAGAGTTGCTCAGAACTGGAAATATTTCCAGACAACCTAATATCTTTTTCTTTTAAGCCTAATTCACTCTGACTCAGCAAGCTTATCAGCAACACTAAAGGCTCTCTAAAGTCACAAAAACTCATGACCCTCCAGCATTGATGTGCATTTTTTAGCAGGTTATTTGATCCATTTTTAATGTGATAATTTTAACTTTAAAATTAGAATTTAAAGGTAAATTGCAACTTTAAACTTTGATACCAGTAACTGGGTCATGCATGGTTCTCCACAATTTAAAAAACTGAAGATTAATGAATAAAATGTTATTTTGCATGACTTCAAAATGTTACAAATGAGAACTTGTTCTTTTAGCTTTATGTAAAATTCCAATTTTGTTTTCAGAAGATTTACAGAGTCTGTAAAAGCAGGTGGTTTTCTAGACCTGAAAACATGCACACTACAAGGACCATGTCACTTATGACACAAACTATCATGACTCAGAAAACGTCTATTAAATCCTGAGGATTAAGGCATTAATAGCAAACATGTATTTAATGCCTAATATTAGCCTGAAATATGGAAATAATGAGTTTGTGATTTATATGTTGTGGCTGATTGGTGTATACAGAAATCTAACCCTAACCCTCATCATAAGGTTTATTTTTCCTCTGGCTAAAAAGATGTTTTAGGAGTGCAAGAAAGTAGAACAAAAGCAACAGGTGATATCATAGATCAAGTCTGAATACAAAGTCATCCATAATAAATTCAATAAAATGATAAAACATGCCTGCATGTTAAATCAGTAACAAAGAAAGTTATGAGCTTTGTCATGGCTGTTGCCACCGGAAAATTTTTACAATAGCAAAAAGGGTAACGAGTGGTATAAAAAAAAAAAAAAGCATTTCTCACTGGACATAAACACAGAATTGTCAGGCCACTTAAATTCTTATACAGTAGTTTTAAATATTGTATGAGTGCACTTCTGTTGCCACAGATTAAATGGTACAAAAAACATAATCTCCTACATGATTTGTATGACTTTTCTGTAATATGACTGTTGCATAAAGTCTACACTAGACGGGCGACAGACGTCTCTGGAGGCGAGAAGAATCCGCCAAGAGACACCAGCAGTTAAAGACAGTTGAGCCTTTTCCACAGCAGCATACAGGATTTGACTACAATGCTTGCGTTACCTTTATAATAAGAATAATGGTATTTAAATGGAGAGTTCACAGGGGATTATTGTTAAAAATGAGGCTGAAGTCTTGCTCTTTTACAGCAAGATCGAGACTAAAACCTACCACTTTCATAAAGAAAAAAAATGTCTTTTTTCCTCAACAGGACCTCCCAAAATAAATAACAGTAATAACTTTAAAACAAAATACAACTTTAAGATTACAAACATGTACATGCCTCATTTTATCCCCAAAAAACAACAAAAACAGTTTGGCAAGATGTCCTATGTCACAACAAGACGAACATTTCGACAATTCCTACATTAGAAAATATATTGCTTCCTGTGCACTGAGGCTAGAGTCTATCTTAAGAAACAAATGAGACCAAGTAAAAATATGACCAAATAAATCTGCTTTTTCGGGTTTGTAAAGAAAAAAGATTGGATAACTAAGTTCTTTTTTTCCCCCAACACATTTCAAGTCATAGCTCTTAACTTGAATCGTGTTTGTTTATGTTGTAAGCACGATCAGGCGTTGGCTTTCATTGCCTTTAAAAAAACGGTGACTAAAAAGAGCAAAAAAACCCACAAAAGTCTCGTCTATGCTGAAATAATGCACCGAGAATAATGTAAGAGATTGGATGTGTAAAAACATTTGAGATGGGATGATTTGTTTTTCAAGACTTAATGATTGTCCAAAAATAAATGCAAACTTGAGTACAATGCCGCAATGTAAAAGTACATGAAAGTCAAGAAAGACGTACTGAATTTTAAACACGTCTTCATTTATGAGACAAGAAAAAAGTAAACTGTGACAAAAGCAGATCACCTGGTGAATAACTACAGGTACCAGGAATCATACTAACTATTGGATAATGGTGTATATAATTATGACCTCAAATCCTCTGAGCTTCAGAGATGAGTGGTGCCATCTTCTGTTCTGTAGAGACAATCCTTCCAAGTCAATTTAAAAACACACTACAGTGGGCTCACTTTGAGCCAGTGTCCATCCCCTTTTTTACACCTCTGCTAGAATGAGTTCAGAGCAGACGGTCTGTGTAAGCTCTACACCTCAGTGGAGAAGAGGATACTCTGTCGTTTACTGTCCGGGGTGGGGATGGTTTCCAGCTGCAGGAAATACAGCAAAACTTGGACCTGAAACAACAGGAGACAAAAACTGTGAATTAGAAATAAACATGATACAAAATCTTGAAAAGTATTTTTCCATTACAGCTGTCTTTTTGGCCCCTAAATTTAATAACTCATTGTTCCATATTTTGGCATTGCATCCCTGTAAAGAAATGTTACCCCATATTCTCTTAAGAATGGCGACACTGTCTCAAAAGTATTATTGTTGAAACTCAGCATTAGCTGGTTATTTCTGATAGAACTTCGATGACAAAATTGCAGCGGGAGAGGACAGAGTGGCGCTGGGTTTAGCTCACTTGTGCCATAACTTCCAAGGACCAGCTGTCCCCCATGCTGATGGGTTGAGTGGGGTTAGAAGGAATCTTGCTGTCCTTCTCTGCCGGCCTTAGCAGAGTGGGCCCAAACACGGTTGCCAGATTGTGCAGAGACATCTTGTTGACGCTTTCCTTCTCTGCCACCCTGGGGAGAGGACAACAAATAAGTGACATTGGTGCCAAGGAAGTCAAACGGTGATGAATTGTTGCCTACGGTGGTTGTTTGAGTTTACCTCAATAGGAAACTACTGAAAGGAGAACTGAAGAAGAGCTTTGAGAACTCAAAAGCTTAAACTGATGCAGAAACCAATGAACCAGGTGCAGAGTTTAAACGTAAATACACAATGAGACAAAATTAAACACTTGTAGAAGTGAGAAGTAGTTTATATAATAAGCTCAGCATTTGGGGAAAAAAACCCTTAAAATGAATATAAAATAAATGTATTTTATATTATAAATGGTGATGTTAATATGTTTAAAATACACATAAACAAAAATATATTAGCTGAAACCTAAGGCCAGTCATGAAGTTGCATGTCTGAATATCTCGCAGGTACTAACTATAATGTCATGTGTTTTGTACCTCTTGAGGTGATCCAAAAGGAAAAGGAAGGTGACCAGGTTTGGTTCTGGCAGTGACAGCAGCAAGTTCAGCATACAGCTCTCTTTGGCAACACTATCAGTGAGGGCTGAACAGAAGAAAAGGAAAGCAAAGCAACAATTCACGCGACTCTTTCACACATTGCATGCAGCTGAATTCTTCAAGAAGCAATGTGTGGCAACTATCTTGAAACAGCTCAATCTTAATAGCAATAATTCAATAAATTACAAACACTGGGTGGTAACTTACTGATGCCACCTGCAAAATTAGGATAGAGCTCATCAGTGAAGAGGGGCTCAGGCAGCTCTCTGAAGTACAACTTCAGGGTTCCAGCGATGGCATTAACATCCATCTCGCTCATCATCACAGACACATCTTTGTTATCTGCAGGAGGAAGACAAGAAATGAGTAAATTCCAGAGGAAAAGCATGACAGGAGCTAAGATGTCTGTTGCTAAAATGATGATAAGGAAATGCAAATACATTGTTTAAGATAGCTTATGCAATGAAACCTTTGAAGGTTTTGAGTGTAGAAAACTAATGGCTCCTCTTCACACTGAATACCGTTACAGCAGTATACAGATCATTTAAGCTCAGGACACAGATTAATGCAGGACTTACTGGTGTCAAAGGCGGTCTTCAGAGCCTGAATATCAGTAGCCACCCCTGACACTCTGTATATTCCCACCTCCTCCATGCCTCTCCTCTCTATCTCTTCTAGGCACTGACGGACAATGTAGGGCACCTTGGAGCGTTCCCGTCTGGATCAGGACAAAAACAAACACTTTGACAATTTACAACAATTTACTTCAGATCACTTTCTTTTTTACTCTTGAATTCTGTTTCATTGGAAGGTGAAGATTCCCACAAACTTTTTTTTATTTCAAAATTTGCACTTTTACCAGACTTCCAGAGCCTATGTATTAATAAAAGCTTTGCGATGGATGGATGGATGGATGGAGTAAGGTCAAATAGATGAATGGATAACTTGCCAAGCTGAACAAAATGTGTTCTTTATTCCTTGAGAACACTGTAGGTGGCTAAGTGTAAGGAAAGTTGATAAAAATAAAAAATAAAAACCCAGCCTCTTATTCAGTTATACTAGCTTAATAGTGGTGAGAGATTGACATATTGTCAATAGTGAGAAATTGTCAAATACAAGAACAAGGACAATAAAAAAAAAGATTCTGGTTAGGAAACTTTAACATGATCAGTTAAATAAAAGACAATACCAGTTAACTAGTAGGTTTTAAAAGATTGAAATTGATAAACATTGACAAAGCTAGCATTTGTCCTGCACAGAAAAGACGACAATAAGTTAGACCAGCAAGAATATCATAGTATAATACAGATGGTTGTTTTTTTTCTCAACACGGAGGACTGATTTTTATGCATTTACTCCATTTTTCTAACGTTAACTCACTTGGTCACTGTGGAGATTTTAACTCCAAACACGCCCATGGGTTTCTCTGAGGGCATTCTCTTCAGGCTGAACTCTCTGCTGGTGAACTTCATGGACAGTTTCACTTCAACCTGACAGAAAAAAAAAAAAAGTTTACAAGTTTAGAAGTGAGATTAGAAATTAATATTTGACAATGTTGCAGAATCTCAAGTAAATATTGTTATAAAGATTGATATTACTAGAAAAAGTCCAAAACAATAATGTCAGAGTAAAAGGGATTGGATTAAAGTGAAGAATAACTGTCACACTCACCCCATTCATAGGAATAACTGTTCTTTGCCAGTCTTTGCCTTGAAGAGTCTGAGCATCAAGCTGAGAGGAATAATCAAAATACAAAATTAATGGTAATTCATTTTTAAGTCAAAAATATTCTACTCCATATGACTACATGGGGTTAGGGAAAAATAGAAAAAGTCCAAATATAGTTGATAATTTATTAATTAATTTATTTTTTTCTGTTAATTTCTACTGGTTTACGCACTCTTGTTGTTTGTGTCTAGATCGGCAAGGGAACCAGTAATGCATAAAACTATGACATCAACTGCAAAGGTCCACCCCCTACATGCAGGAGACAGTTGCTGATATCATTCATTCACCTTATTTCCTGATGAAAGATGAACCAAATATGATTTATATCCAGGGCTGCACAGCTATGCAGTTGGTAGCACTGTTGCCTTGCAACCAGGTCTTTCTGCACAGAGTTTGCATGTTCTCCGTGTGCATGCGTGGGTTCTCTCTGGGTTCTCCAGCTTCCTCCCACAGTCCAAAATTATGACTGTCAGGTTAATTGGTCTTTCCAAATTCTCCCTATGTGTGAGTATTCTGGGTGTACCCTGCCTCTCACCCGGAAAGTAGCTGGAGAAGGGCACCAGCAACCCCGTTAGGGACAAGGGTGAACAGAAAATGGATGGATGGATTTATTTCCAGAGACTAAAATTATAACCACACAGATCTGATAAACCAACTGGATCTGGGGGCAGTACAAATTGGTGCAGCTGAGATGATGCAGAATATGAGCAGAAACACAGAAGACTGAATATTGATGTTGCCAAAGCCTCTTCTGGTTGTGCACAAAGTCGGATCACATTTCTCATAAACGAATCTTGTACCGCTGAGTGTGTACTTTGAGCAATTTGATTATAAAGAATTGCATTTCATTTAAAAAGAGAGCTGCTTTTCTGTTGAAATGTTTTAAGGTGTGGATTTCAATTTGCTCCAGTAAAAAAGCACAACACTAAGATCCATTTGATTTAGAGGGCTTAGCCTTTTCTCAGCTAGTTTTATATAGCACCTGTGAATCTATAAACTGTGAAGAAGGACTATAGAGAATAGATAATTAAAATAGATCGATAGATAACAGATGATAGATGGATAATGAACAAATAATCATGAACAGAAACATGACTAAAAAAAAACCATATGGAAATAACTTGTTGCAGATGATGCGTATCTGCATTATGCTAAGCAACCTGCCAGGCTTTCCATTGTTTTGCTCTGATTTTCTTTGTTCCAGACAGAAGAAAACTGGGCATTCTCTGCCAGCAAAAACGGTAATTTTGACATGTAAACAACCACATATAAATGACAGCAACAGATTAAAAATAAGTGAATTTCTGTCAAATAAAAGAAATATCATTTGTTCAGATTTATGAAAATCCTGTCACGCATCTCTGGCAGCTGGTTTACAATGACATCATCCCATTAAGACAGGATCAGGTCTCAGAATTACTGAACGGTGCCACTAGGGGGAGCATGTCACTGAGCTTGTGAGCCCAGGAACCAGACTTTTCTGCTGCAGTTTAACCAAATCAAACAGGATACAGAACGCTCAGATTAAAACAGTTTTCCCATAAATAACAAAAACAAACCTGCTCTGGGTGAGCTTTTGATCTTTTATCTATTTCACTAGAAGCACAAAAAGAGAATAATATTTGTCTTTTTTTGATCTTTATGTTTACTAATTTCCAGTGATGAATTTGGGCTGATGTTCTCTTGGCAGCCTCATCAGTGACACTTTGAATCTGCCATCAATGTCATGATACCATCAGTCATCAGGAGTTCTGACAGCTAAACCTGCCAGCACAACAATGAGTAAAAGGTCAAAAATGGCAGCTTTTTGTCTGTCAAAAAAAATCATCTTCTGAGTAAATCTTAGCTGAACTGACAGACATTTGTTAGTTGCTGCACAGGTTGGACTATCTATTGTTATGACACACTAATAACCATCTTTCTACATCGTGCATAACTGTCAAATCAATGTGTGCTTCATGCCTTGCAGCTGAGGAGATGACATAACTCCCAATCAATACTGAGTCATGGTAAGTCTGCGGATCGTAACGAGGGGGTGACATCATGTCATACCAGGATCTGTCCTTTCCCAATGATGTGGTCTGTGCTGTCTCCGTCTTCTTTGTTCAGCTTGGTCCTGTTGTAGCTCTTCTCATAGCAAAGCAACCTCAGGGTCTGAGAGCCCTCCAGCTCGATCTCAAACTCCTTTGGGCAAAAGGAATTGAAAAAAAAGAAAGACAATGTTTGCATGAAAGATGAAACAGTGAGACAAAAAAATCACAAATATTACAAATATTATCCCTTTACTGCCCACAGCTGAGCGACAATCCTTGCAATTATGTCAGGTGATGCTCTACATATGGTTTGCACATTGTTCTGAGATCCACACTGTCGATTCATTTCGCTTTTGGACAGATGTGAGTCATTGTGTGCTGCAGATCCTAATTATTTCATATTATTTCCACTTTGTTAAGCAGAATTCTCAAAGAGGATCTAACATTTTTCTAAACTCTCTCTTCCCGTAGTCAGCAGTGGCATTGTGAGTGCACATAGCCGCTGCACAATCTCTTCAGATTGTCCGCACTCTTACAGTAGGTCCTATTTCATGTGCTGGAGTTGCAACCAAATGGCAAAAACTGATAGACAAGCTTCAGCCACATTTCTTTTAAAGCCTTTGGTAATTGTGGAAATGATTGTGACATCGGTGATTTTAATCAAAACTTTAGCTTCTCATGTGAGATATTTTTCACATATGAATAAATTCAATCAAATAAATATAGGAATGTTTCATAAATGTTTACTGGGGGGGTGCTAATAACTGTGGAGGGTGCAATATAGACCAGCTTGTATGCAATAACTATTTGTAGCAGTTCATTTCCTCTATGTTTTTTGGGCGGCAGATTATCCTTGTGATTTTTGATAGACATCTTTTTGCTACTCAGAAACACACAGCCAACTGATAAAAACAACAGATGCTACACATATGAGAAGCAGCATAAACCACACAGATAAGAAAAAGTGTTATTATTGTGTACTGCTGGGTACAAGGAAAACAAAACAGATGGTTCATTAATGCTGGGTATTTGCATACAATTCTACAGTCATAAATGAGACTATAAAAGATTTAGTATGGGTATTTGTTCTGGATTTTACCTCGTTCCACTTGGGTTCAGTTGTATATCGGTAGACTCTCGTCTTTGCTTTATTTAAAAAGAAGCCAAATGAGTCCACCTCCAATGTGCAGTAGAGATCTGGCAGAAAGAGGGTGATGGTGAAGAAATTGCACATAAAAAAGAAAAAAAAAAGGGAACTCTGTATGCTCAGAGGGAATGCTTGGTTGCATTTCTTTCAGCCACAAAAATACAATAAATTAATAGGAGCTTTTAGCAATGCAGCATGAAAGCTGTGGTTATTAGAGTTACCTTATGTTATAATTACTGCATAAAGTCAGAAGTTGAGTGACTCACTTAAACTCTGTTTGAGGCCAGAGGCAGAGTGGACGATTACATTCAGGAACCCGTAGAGACCGGAGGATTCATCCTCTGGAAAAACAGCAGAGAGATTGGAAAAGGATGTCAGCGGGGGCAGATTAGAAAAGCATGCACATATCTGTTTGTTCTGGAGTCGATTCAGGCAGAGGGGGAAGAGCTAAAGCAATGCCGGCTAGTGGAGAAGATTTAATTTAAAGCTGTTTTTGTAGTAATTTCATTCCTGATGCACAAATAAACCCTACATTTAGGGACAAAAAGAAGGAGCCTACCTTCTTTATTCAGACTAAGTGGAATGTTGTGGACAGTTTGGAGTTTGAGACAGGAGCTGGTCAACATTTGGAGCTCCATGGACGTCAGTGAAGGAGTTTTAACACCTTGAAGACACAAAAATTTATGTAAATATCAGTGGATATCAAAAACATGTCATATTGGATTGTGAGAGGGCTCTTGTTAGTCATAGGCTTAAAGAGCAGGATTTGCTGAAAATGTTTAATCAAACATGCTTTGCACATTGTTACGTGGGAAGCAGGTATGTTTTTCTTTAATTGGATCAGACAGGACATGCCTGGAGGACATCTCTTCGACACTCACATTTCTGCTGCTGTTCCCTGATTATCTCTCTCCACTCTGAACGCTCATAGTCAGAAGAAATAAGGAGGCTGTAACTCTGAAAACACAAACAAACACACACACACGCACACACACACACACACACACAAACAGTATATAAGAAAACATAGAGGTCTGGGAAAATGTATATGACCCATTTTTTTATTTTATTTTCAATGCTTAGCTCTTTTAGATCAAACAAATGTTAATATCAGAAAAAGATAACGTTAGTAAAACAGTAAAAAGCTATGGTTAACTACAGCGGAGTTACATTTCACAAGTCACACTCAGGTCTGATTACTGTTAAAATATCACAATCACAAAATCACTCAAATAGAAACTGTCTGACAAGATGGAGGTTGAAGATCTCAAAAGCAACAAACCATCCCTAGGCGTAAACATCCACAAACGGAGAAAACATGCAAAAGGTGGAGAAGCTTTTCAGGAGGCGCTTGTAGCAACCAGCGCACATCTGCAGCTCACCCAGGAGGTCACAAAAGAAGCCAGAACAACATCTGAAGCACTGAAGACTTCTCTAGCTACAGTTAAAGTCAGAGTTCATGATTCAACGATGAGAAAGAGATAAGGCGTAAATGGCATCCTAGAGAGTTCCCAAGTGAAAACCACTGCTAACAAAAAACACACAGAAAAAGTGGAACTTTTTGGAAAGTGTGCCAATTTCTTCTGCTGCAAAATTCTGAGCATTTAAAAAAAAAAGCAACATGCCTCCAGTTAAACATGCTATAATAAAAATAACCATCATTTAAGGAAACACGATTTGGGGTCTGTAGCAGAATATCTTGAGAAAAAATAATTCATAATTCATCATGGAAAGCTCATGTGGATCTGAGATATGCTGCAAGACAATGACCAGCAAATCCCTCTATGATTGGCTGAAAAAAGAGAGAAAAAGGTTTTGTGGTAGCCTAATCAAAGTCTAGACTTAAATCCAGTTATGTGGTGTGCCATGACTTTAAACAGGCTGTTCAAACCCTCTTGTTTCAAGCCAAGTATAATAAAACAGTTGTTTAAAAACAAATTTTTGTATTTAATCAAGGCATCTTTGTCTGATATTTGAAGATCTGAAACACAAAAGTGTAACAATGGAAGATCAAGCAATTAGTAGAAGGGAAACTGAATTTAGTTGGGTTGTTCATTAGCAAACTTTAAGAAACGCTGGAAAGGATTTGAAACTTGTGATAGACTTATTTTTGGGTACTGGATGACTTAGGAAGGCAACGGTTAAATAAGAGACAGAAGAAATACAAAGAACATGCAGGGAACATTATCATAATAGTCACATCCTCACCTTTCCGTTCTTGTTGAACAATCTGAGCGGCATGCTGGGAGACGTTAGTAGCAGCAAAGACTCCTGCTCCGATAGTTTCTTCCGGAGTCGGTCGATTACTTTTGAACCCTTGTTGGCTCTCTGAAAATCCAAAGCAAAAAGAATAAAATGCTCCACAAAAATTTAGATTCTCAGAATCATCTGTATATAGGAAGGAGTTCTCCGACTGACCTTCTCCCTCAGAATCTCACTGCGGAGGTGTGAGATCTTGACCTTAACAGCGTCCAGCTCTTCGTCCGGGACTTGGGGAATGGTGAGAGGCTCAGTGTCTTCGGGGCCTTGGAAGGTCAGCTCAGTCAGGGGGATGTACCACTTGCAGTCGTACTGTTGGTTTTTACTGCATTTGGATCAGAAAAAAGAAAGTTAGAATGTCCAGAAATAAAAGTAAAGTAGATGCAGCAAAGTAGGTTTGAAAGCAGGAGATGGATCAATAAAGCAGGATAATTGATACAGATGACTACTAGGGAGAGGCTTTGGTGGCATTTTGGAGTCCATATTGGGCTCACTCGCCATCTGTAGTGGAAATCACGATTTGGCTCCAGCTTTATGTGATGCAGATGGGATTTTTGCAACATCATCTAGAGTGTAAGTGCCATAGCATGCAACTGCTCGCTTAACATATCTTTGATGTTTTCCAATGAAAAATGTTGTCTTCATTATTGGTTTGTATTGTTTGTAGATATTTCAGTCTTAAAACATTTTTAACTTTGAAAAATATGTGTTTGTTTTAGCAGATTAGTTTGCTCTTTCTGCTGCGGATGCCTGAGTGTTACCATTTTACTTGATCATTAAAAGAATGCAGTGATCAGGCATCACTCTCATCTTTCACTGTGCTCTCTTTTTGTAAATATACCACGCTGTTGCTCTAGACTCATCCTTTCTGTTTTCATTTTCCTTTGTACATATTTAAAATTTTGACTAATTATGTTGAAAGGGTTTCATAGCACCAACTTTCATCCGATGGCACGTTTAACTGTGAAAGAATAACCTGCCTTGGTCCATTAAAAACTTCCTGAGTCAGTTTCCCAACTCCTATATCATCTGTGTCAATGTTGTGGTGCATAGCTGTGAGGTTTTTTTTCTATCTGTGCAAAGACAAACTGTTTTCTTTACCCTCCAATCTGTTTCTTCAGCTTGGCGCAGAGCAGCAGGTCAGTAAAGAGGAAGACGTGCCGCAGCTTCCTGGTTCCCTCCACCAGCTCCACCATGAAACTGTCCTTCAGCAGCTGCCGGTTCTACAACAGCGACAGACAGCATCGTTTAGATCAGCAGGGGGGTTGCATGGCACAACCACAACTAATGCTGTGGTTGTGTCATGCTCTTTTGTGTACACTACAAAAATGTGTTTTTTGTAGCCATAAATATATTCTGAATTCAGTTGGAAGCACTCTTTAAGACTGTCCAAATAAAGAAACTTTTCAGTTTTTCATTCTTTCATGTTGCAATTTTGTGGTACTTTATGTTTTTCTAATAATATTTGAGGTTAGGGGTTGGAATGTGACATAATATGAAGAAGTTGAAGAAAATACTTAAGCGAGACCCTGAATACTCTCTCTAATTAAACCAGCAAGAACAGAGAAACAGAGAGAAATGAGGAAACGACTGCTTTTGGAAGGACTCAGCTATACAATAAAGCCTGCAAGATGGAAATAAAATCTCCAAGATTGAGAACTGGTTGTATCAGTTCAGTTTATGAAAAGAATCTGAATCTTCTATTTTTATGCTGCAGAGAAATCATGAGAAGTTTCTCACAAAAAGGAAAAGTGTTTTCTGGGGGTCAGTACTCATCGCTGATGTCAGACTATATAATGAGATGTGCAATAATGCCATTAACCAAAAGGGGGCAGTAAAGTCATTTTATAAGGATTTCTTTATAAAGACAAGGAGTGTAGGCAAATGTAAAACCACAGTTTGGTTGTAAATGGCTCAATCTTATTCACTTTTAACCTCAGTTTTACTTGTGGGAAGGAAAGTGAAAACAGTTCTTGAAGTCTTGATCTTGTTCTTGTCTCAGCTTGACTTTATATCTTGTAGAATTTTACAGTTTTCTCACTTGAATCTGAGGTTTGTCTTGGTGACAGATGTTTACTTATGAGGAATCCTTTTGTGTTCTTGCACAAATATGATAGTAAACTGAAAAAGTTTGATAATAAACACACTTAGTAGATTGTTTGCAAATGAAGGAACTTTAAGAGCTTTTTGGTTTGAAGAAAAGCACAAAACATGTAATCAGAAATTTGGACACAAATTTGAACAGTTTAAAGTTTGATTACTGTGCAACCTGTTCCTGCTCACTTCAAACCTGTAGTAAACAATCCTTACCAGCAGCAAAGCCGCGAAGCATGACATCATGTTTGTTCAGAGCCAACTACATCCCTGTCATCGTGTTTCTGACCTCCCCTCTCTGTTTTTACTTTGGTTTTTTTTTTCCTCCTCCCCTCTCCAGCGTGTCAATCACCAACAGAGAAAACTGGAGTAGAGCTAAGGCTAATGACAGAAGGAGAACATTTACGTGCTCGCAATAAAATAAAATAAAAAAAAAATTTTGCGCATCGGAGGGTTTGTTCTGTTGTGAGTCAGAGCTGAAAAGCTTGTGAATGATGTAAGGAGGGGGCTGAGGAAGGGTGACTAAGATGCAGAAAAATAGGAGCAATGACAGAGAGAACCTGTGCAACGATGTCTGAGAGGAAACGGGGAGGAGAATGAGGCCGCAGAGGAGATCCCTGAGGAACAAATATCACACAGATGCTTCTTACTCTACGTAGATACCGACCCGTGTGTCATTGCAGCAACGCATTCCCATCTCTACTTCACTTATCGCCTCCCTGATCATCAAAATACAGAATCTAATTCCACATATTGAACGTAAAACAGCCATAACCTGTGATGAATAACTTCAAGATTACTTGCTTTCATATTGTGTCGAGTTGGAACCCGCATTTGTATCACCACCAGATTCTCAGCAGACATTTGTACCTCACTAAGCTTTTTGACAAGAAGTATTTCACTGTGCATGGAATCCACAAATATCCTGTAATCCCAATTTCTTAGAGCTTGATGTGGAAATTATTGTACTTTACCTACATAACCCTTGAAACCATTTGGCACCCCCACCAGAAAATTGTTCTACCTTTTATTTCTGACAGATTATCCTGTAGTGGTTTTTAAAAATAATTCATATTTAATTTTAAAAGTATGTTTAAAATACAAAATTCTAAAGTTCTCCATGAATTTATGACATACGCCGTAACAGTGGAGAGGCTCTAAATTTACAATCTGTGAAAACATACGGAAATGAAGGCCGGTTAAAGAACAGAAAAATGAAGAAAAGTTCAGGAAAAGAAAGATGGACATAAGCAAGAAGGAAAAGAAGAGAATAAGACATAAGGAAGGACAGAAGAAAGGGAGGTAAAATACAAGGAAGGACAAAATGACAAGAAATAAAAGAATTAAAGACAAGGAAGGAAATAGTGAAATAAAAACAACAAAGTTAGTGCACTTAAAAGAAAGGACAGAACTGAGATATTTTCTGCCACTTCACAGCTACCTGTAATGTTAGGTTTATCTTTTATATAAGAGTCCTATCAAATAGTCTAAAAACTGTTGTTCTGAGTTTCAAATTGTATGAATAACTTTAGAAGGTACTATTGCTGCATTCCTCCAGTACAGAGAAAAGGATGCCAGAGTATTTAACAGGCAGGAAGAGAAATGCATCTTTACCCATTTTTTCCAGCAGCTGACCGTCGCATAAAAAAAGAAAAAAAAAATGCTCATGGACAGATTAAATATTGACCAACTCTTGGAGGAGCCTCACCAAGAGCCTAATGCACAAGTAATGGGATGGTTTATTTTTAGAGCATTAGCTTTAAAGGGCACCTCTGCACTCGTGTGAACATGTGTGAGTTTTTTGTGTGTGTTCTTGTGTGTGCGTGCGGGCTGGGGGACATTTTTCTGGGGCGGGGGGAAAGGGGAATTGCGTAAATGACTGTGTGCATTTCTGGTTCAGCATTTTTATTTTCATACAAAAGTCAAACAAAGCAGAGCGAGGACATGAGAGCCGTCATTTGCATTTTAATTAAGTGCTTCCTGTTTGCCGCCACCCCCACTCATTATGGCGCGGGGCCAGGGCCTCTGGGGGCCCACCTGTACTCATCGGTTTCATCATACCCTCACTGACCAAGCTGGAAGTGACTCAGTGTCTATGCATGGGCGGGAATGATTACCCTTCAGTGCTCCTCCAATTGTTTAGCTTTTAGCCAATAACACAAATACACTTGTGGTTTCTACCATGTTGGCTAACTTCCTTATCACTGACAAATTAAATAAGCTTGACATGAAACTGAGAGAAATGAAATTCCACACTCTAAACATGCAACTTAAACCCTAAGAAAAAGAGCAAATTAATATTGATTTTTTTATTTAAAAAGAAAATGTGTGTAGAAGTTAAAATGCACAGTTTTTACATGAAAATCAGCAGCTTCTCTGTGGCAAGAGACAAAAAAACAACAACAACAAAAACAACAACAACTCCAGCCTATTGTTTACTTTATCTTTTGTAAGGTGTAATATAATGAAGCCCATTGATTTCAGAAAGCTCCTTTCATGTATCCATGATAAATATTTGATAACTGCTGTTGGGGCCTGAACTGACTGAGATGGAAACTGAGGCCTGCAGGGATAATAAAGGAAATGTGTGTGTGTTTGTGAGTGTGTATGTTTCTCTAACATATGGAACAGGGAGTAGGGAAGTGTGTGTGAATGGAAAGGGTGCAGTAATGACCCCCCTGTGAGCGGGGGGAGGAGCCCCGGCGTCTCGCCTCCTCCCATGTACCATTAATAAATAATTAACGAGAAATCTGCCAGTCAGTGTGGACTGGTGGCACGTTACAAGGCACTGTGTATGGCAAAGGCTATCAATCAAGGGGCATCCATTCATGTGCATCAACTCATCTCCAGGGGAGGGAGAAACTGGTGGGGGGAGCGGGTGGTTGGGCAAGTCTGTGTGCGCTGGTTCGAAAGACGGGTGGAAGGGTTGGAAGGGGGATTGATAGATACTGAGCAAACAGACAGAATCAGTCTCATGGAGGCAACCCTGCTATGACCATATAAGGACATGGGCTCTGCTTTAGGCTGCAGATTGGTGGCTCCTGTGCACTCATCTGCTGGTGACTTCAAAGTCATTTGGAGGTTGAGTTTGTGATGTCATCATTCCCAAGATGGGCAGGTGCGAGTTTAGCTGACATAGGTTAAAAAACATAGAGGCTTATTTTGGGAGAAACACGGGATATGGAAGAAAATATTAAGGAATATTTCAACCACAGGAGCAAACAAAGACAGAAAGCCTATATAAGCCCCAAAAAAACTGCATTAATGTTCATTTTGTCATTTTAAAGCACATGGTCATCAATCAGACGATTGGCAAAATAATAGACATCCCTACACAGTGCTTTAATATTTCCATTGTCCTGTTACGATATTTATGTTGTTTTTTTAATCCCTTCAGTTTTTAACCTAAGTTAAAGATAAACAATATGTAGTCTTCACAATTTTTTGCAAATAAATATCGCAATAAAATAAAATAAAAAATATTGCTCATCGGAGGGTTTGTTCTGTTGTGAGTCAGAAGCTGAAAAGCTTGTGAATATGTATTTGTACTTGGGTCCATCCAGTTAATACTTTTAAAATCGTATCAGAGATTCTCAAGCTGGGTCTATAGACTTTGGCTTGGCCATCCTAATACATAAACAGATATAATTCTTCCACTGTAGTTCTGGGTGTACGTTTAGTGTTTTTGTCCTGCTGGAAGTTCACCTCTCGAGTCTTCTGCAGCTTTCTACAGGTTTTCCTCCAGGATCAGGCGGTACTTAACTCCTTTTATAATTATATGCAACTTTGTGTTACAAAAAATTGTATGAAATACACAAAAGTTTGTGATTGTAAGATGACAAAATGTGAAAAAAGGTATAAACTTTAAAGGTCTGATTAATTTTATAAGGCCCTGGAAAAGTAAAGCATGGGGAATCTTTAAAAAAATATTAAAGAAAAGGGACCAATTATGAGTTCCTGATGAAATGTAACAAATAATTGAGTTGATTCAAAAACCCAGAAAGAAGGCAAAATGTAATGAATTTGGAGATTTCATATAATAGAGAAAACTGCATGAAAAGATTTAGAGAAGGCAGAGAAATCTGCACATCCTGGGTTTCTATGATCATCAAGACTGCAGGCGGTACCAGAATGGAAATCCTGGAGCAGTAGTCCCTCGACAGGCCAGAAAACATTTCTGAAATCATCCCACAGTGATTCAAGCCCACAAACAGAAGTTCTAGTTAAAACTTTGCAGCACAAGGGAAAACAACTGTTTTGTATGAGTAATTTATACTGAGGGCAAGCAGAAAACATGAAGGTGGTATAATCTTGGAACAAAAAAAAAAAACATTAATCCTAAACAATATGCTCAAATTATAAAGGAAGACATTCTATGTCAACAGAATGACTATTAAATCAAAGAGGTTGAGTAAGAAACTGCCTTTGCTGAGCCCCTATAAACTATCTGGAGGATTTGGAGCAACAAAGAGAAGCCTTAGCTAATACTCAGGTTCCTGTTTTGTGCTTCAACTTGGCCAGAACATGAGACAGAGGATCCCTGGACAGGATAGTCAGCTCCCTATTGCCTTCCAAGCTCGTTTCTTTGGATAAAAACAGCAGTACTAGTTTACTGCTTTGCATTCTGAACACTCACCTCTCCCTTCTTCCCAGCTAGAGACTGGCGCCTTGACGTCGTCTCCTCGTTGATGCTGGACAGAAAGTTCTGGGAGATCCGCAGGGCATCCTGCAGGAGCGGGTGGTCCGGGTGGCTGGTGGGCGTGTGTTTGAGCAAGTCCTTTGAGTAGATGACAGAGTAATGTATCAAAAAACAAAAGATATCTTAGAAAAAAAAACAACAATTTGAATTCTCAGTTTCTAATAGATAGACAGCTGTGACTTCAAGAAAGCATGCTTCCAGTCATTTTGCTTACATGTAGCACCAAAGTGCTGCGTGTCACCGGTCCACAGGTTTATACAGTAAAGCTAAAAGTAAAATGAGACAAAAATAGAGTGAAAATTTCATTCTGCATGCAATATACAACAAAACAGATTTATGATTTAAAGTAACTTTAATATGACGGACCCTCCAGGGAGTTCTTGGCTGTATCCTTACAGTCTTTAGGGCTCCTCACCTTCAGGTTCTGGTGGATAAAAAAAAAAACACAAGAAATTAGTAATCTAAAATTAAGTTGGCACAAACAACACAAAAATATTGTAACGTTATGTAGTTTTTCTGCTTCAACCACTAAAAGTCATTCACTTCCAGATTAATTATTCAACCATCAGCAGATTTTTTTTTTTGGCCCTACTATCATTCTCAAATGGCTCAGAGTTATTCATCATTACTTAGACCATTAGTAAGTCTTCCATTATGTATTTCATGTACGTCATGTAGATGCCCACCTAAATGCTGACTGGCAGGCCTCCATAAAACATAGATGAAAAATTATGTACTAGAAAGATCCTCGTGGGTTGGGAAAAAAGGTAGAAGTTGTGAATCAAGAGCATCAAGGTCACCAGACTGCTCAGTAGTCACAGTTATACATTCTTCCAATTAGGTTTGCTTTTGAGCAACTCATGTGTAGCAGTGTGGTCAAGCTAACTGAGAAATTCTGTCCATTTGCTGTAAAAAATAAATAAATAAAAATAAACTATGTTGGTAATTCATTCCCATTTGTGTCATGTGAATCGCTACGCATGCTGCTCAGACAGAACTGTGCAAAGAGCAGCTGAAACAGTCAAACTTTATAACAATAAATTGAAGCCAGTTTATGAATCAAGAGAAGTTCTGTTAGTTTTGTTGGAACTTGATTCAGTGGAACAGCACAAAAATATTTTCTAAGTCACTTCAAACAGGGAACAACAGAGCATCTCGTCTCATTCAGTTTGCACACATTTGGGACGCTGTTTTCACATTGCAAAATCCATGTTGAATGGCTGCTTTGACTTACAAACTGGCATTGCAGATCTAATACCACAAATGCATCACACAGGACTTCCACGTTTGTTTACTTTCCAGTTCAGTGCTCTGTTGTGGTCCAGTCATTTCTGTGCAATGGGAGCAATGATTGTCACGTGTGTGGCTTTGTTTACAAATTACAATCTGTTTGCAAAAAAGTACAATGTGAACACAAACCGCACCTTTGGTCTGGTTTTGGTCCAGACCAAACAAGCGGACCAAAGGATTTTCTTGGAGCTCCAAGAGAGAAAAGAATACCAGATCGGTTACATCTTGGATGACCACTTCCCTAAGCACCACCTGTCTATTTTATGTGGTCAGTCTCACCTCAGAGATTTCAGCAAACTGCGAGTTGGCCTGGCAGCACTTCTCCGCTGTCTCTACAGCAAGCTCATAGTTGTCCAGAAATGCTCGATACACTCCAAGCTGGCTGGCCTGAGAAGGAGAGGAAAAGTTAGCACATAAAAATTAAAAGGGAAAGGAAAAAGTTTTTTTGGTAAATTTTCAAAATTTGCTTTTTAAAAAGAGCCAAGCTGAAATAGCAACATACATAATCAAAGTAATTTCTTGCTAAGACAGTTTAGTTTAGTAGAATCTGAAATACATAATCGAACAAAACAGCCAGCAAAGAAGACAGACGGTCAAAACATCCCCATTTTTACTATGGTGGTCCTAGACGCTTGCTGCTATAGCAACTAGTGAGACCTGGTCTGTGTTGAGTGGAATAATTAACCAGTGCTGTAACAGAGATAGTTGTAGGAAGCTTGATGACGAAATTAAATTCCAGCAAACGCTTGTCTGCCAGAGCTGAGATTCATCTCAGCGGAGAACAAAAGGACGATCAATTCTTCGGAACAAAAGCAGAGAGAGGAGAGCGTACAGTGGAGCGGGGTGGGCCCTGTGTGAGCTGTCAAGATCGACCCCCATGCGCCCACCCCACCTTTAAAACGCTTATCACACATGTAAGCACTTCCCATCAACATACCGAACAGGAAATTTTACTTGCAAAAACTGATCTCAGGTGGCAGCATTTGAGATCTTTCATGCACTTTTTTAGAAATTAATCTTAAAAGACCTACTTATTTTCATTTTGTCCAATAATTAGAAATGAGAGCTTGGATATTATTAAGACTGCAACATGAAAAATGTTTCACAACCTTTTGTCAAAAAATAATTGACAAGTAAGTTTATCTAAAAATAGCAATTCAAAACTGAGAATAGGATTTTAACATTTTTGAGCTTTTGCTCTTTGAGCACCAAGTTCTTGTTTTTCAATATCATACAACTTTTCCGCTCTGGAGAAAAATTATTTCAAATTCATATCTGCAACTAGTTCACGCACTCTTTTACTGCAACTGTACAACTTTCAAATTATATGCCACAAAACTGAAGGCTGTATATTATGTCCAAGTTAAAACAGATTTAAAACTGTTTAGCAAAAATGCTGTTGCGCCATAAAGCAGCAAGAAGCAGCAAGGTGCTGCTTTCAAAATCTTTCCCCAGGCAACACAATCTGCACTACTGCAGGGGCAATTCAGAGCGTGACAGTTTCACCGCAGAGGGAACGGGTCGCCCAAATATCCCACAACCACATCCCCATACGACAGCGTGAAGGCTTATGGATCGTAGCCATAGAGTCGGGGCAGAAAATGGTTTTGAGAGATGGAAGAAACATGCTTCGGTGTTTGGATTTCTCAGTTTGGGATTTGCAATTTGTTAGAGTCGCTGTGTAATTTACTGCAGAGAACAACATTAGGAAAACAGCCGAGTGACATTACATAAAAACGGCAGACTTTAGCTTTGGCTGGTAAACTGCTCAAATGTCTTGTAAACATTTTCTGACGAGAGAAAGCATTGTTTCATCTCGACAGGAAAAGGTACTGTATGTTTCAATTACGCCTACAGCTAAATGTATCAAGATACAAGCTAACGCTTCTGGCTGTATTGAGGCTATAATACTTTCATCTTGCTTATTATTACAGGGGGCATAATCCAAGCAAGATGCCCTAACTAGCATGTATCATGTCAGCTAGTTGTAGCTGTAGGTCTAAGTGAAATAACATTGTTGCCTCCAGCTCCAAATTTTATGAGCTGAATTTGGGGGGAAAATGACCCTCAGCATCACATTATGGATGATTTTGTTTCTTAAGGGAGAAAACAAGCAAGAATACAAAGATATTGAGTCGCAAGGGACTAAAATGACTAACAACTGTGTAGGATTTTTTCATTTATTAATTTTTTTTACCAGAAGTGGCAATAATAGTGGAGATTGATGAAGTCTATGTAGCAGCTGAGACACTTACTGTAAGTTTAATTCAGAGACATTTTAAATTTAAAGACAAGGCTTGTCCGAGAGATATTAGGGAATTATTGATCAATGTTATGATACAGTCAAGCTAACAACCAACAGCAAACTGAAAGCTTGTCACAGCCACAGTTTAAAACAGAAAAGCTTCATCTTCTTTTACTCATCTTTGATAAAACAAATTCAACACTAGTTTAACAGATTCCCATCTCTGAGGCGTGTGTTTAGGAGGATGAGGATCACAACTGTGATTTTGCCCTATTTTCAGCCTTCAAACGATTCTCTCTGACACTTCACTCTCATAGCCTGTCAGCGACACTCTGCCTTTTCCTCTTTTCATCCCTTCTCTCATCTTCCTTGTTCTGATGTCTCATGACTCCTAAGCTTTTGCAGATTTAGGAGTCATGGTGAGACAGCTCTATCAAGAGTTCCAGCAGCCTAAAAATCTACTTGGCTTGTCGGCTCCCATCCTTTCACGGACGTCCCCGCCCCCACGAGAATGCATGCATCACCTCCTTTACTCCCTTTAATTTTCCTTTTCCCTTGTCCTCAGAACAGCAGAGGTGTAACAGTTTTACGAAAAAGGGAATAAGATAGAAACAGTTCGAATGTGTAAATATCTGCTTCATCTTCAAGCAGGTCAGAAAAGTTGACAGTGTCCATTGTTCAATAACAATAATATCACAACTGTGATACTCATTATTTTATGACTAATTCTTGTTCTTTTTGAACTTGAAATAACATATCATGTTATATATCTTTTTACTCTATCTGTAGGTTGCTCAGATCATAAACTATGGACTAACAAAAAGCTGAAGTTGGCTTCTAATTTGCAAGTCTGAACCAATGCCTTTTTACTTTTTTCATAAGCTATACCAATCAGATCTGTCAAAGTAAGCATAGTTTGTGATTGTTGCCATCCTATTGGAAATCTAAAAATGAAAAACATAGAAGTTTCATTGCATTGAATCTAAACCAGATCTGTATGTTAACAACTAGAGTTCTTCCAGTAAGGGACCCATAAAACTGAAATAACAGGAACGCATGCTAAATGCATGCTAAAATGTGAACCACTCTCAACAATTATTGAGCAATGTATTGAGCTCAACCAACAATAAATGCATACACTGAAAATAATTCAGAAGCAACCAAAAAGAGAAAATAAAATATGCAAAAGAAAATGTATTTATTTTAATTTCTTCCAAGTGCCCATCTACTAGAAAATAATACAAATTCAATCAAAATTTATCATCCAAAGCCCAAAGGCAGTCTTCAGAGATACATTAATAAGATTGTGTGTGTGTGTGTCTGTGCGTGTGTGTGGTGAAGGCAGCTCCTATTTATAGCAGCTTCTTGAAGACAAAAAGCACACAGCGTTGTGATGGCCTCAGCTGCCGGAGGCAGAAAGGGGGCATTGTGAGGCAGGCCTGTGCCCCCCTCTGTGTGCATGTGCACGTCAGAGTATCAACCAGTCTGGGGGGGGACTAGATGAGGAACATGAGGGAGAGATCAGTGGGAGAGGAGCTGTATTTCTCAGAGTATTAACAAATGATTCATTGTGAGTTAATTGACCTGCTGTGAAAATGATTGAACAGAACCACTGTACTGTACATTTGGCCCTGACATCCTTGGAAGAAATTGCTGCAGGACACGAAGAGAGTAAAGGCAATCCAGATTTAATTTGTGCAAATTTGAAATCACAAAGAGGAAGATCACTAGAAAAATCAAATCTGCTTTTACTGCCGATTTATCAAATTTAACTGGCCGGTTCTGCTTCTGACATCTTTCTGTTTGATGAGATGTTACAGTAAGTAAAGCCGCTGAAGCTCTGCTGGTTTGCTTTGGGAGGGCGTCCAGGCAACATAAATGTCACTGTACAACCCCAAATGTCCTTTTCCACTGCTGTCAACCTTTCTGGCTGCCCAATGTTGTCACTTTGATTAGGGGTAACGTCACGCGGCTACACCCAGGGACCCAGCGGCTGTCATAGCTGCACACAGACTACAACCACAAACAGACCAACCCTTTAATTTTCCTTTGATAGGAACTCAGATTGTATTCACCAGCTTCTGGAAGAGGTCTCCGACCCTTGGTGGTGGCTCCACTGCTGGACGCGGGGCAAAAGTCCGTCGTAAAACTCCTTGTGGATTTCGTACAGCTCAGGCACTTTGAAGAAGATGGTTTCAATCTGGGCCACTGTGAGAACAGGCTGGGATGTTGTAGCAGCTGCCTTCAATGGTTTCATTGGCTGAGACAAACAGAAATTCAGTTCAGCTGATTTAACAAAGTAGCAGAGCTGAATAAACCAGTGTAAAAATTGTGCTAGTTAGTCAAAAGTCAATTTTTGATTCCTTCTCCCTGTACTGGTGTAAGGTCTCCTTAAATACACAACAGTATATTGAAACATACTGAGAAGGGGGAAATCGAATTATCCAATTCAAATACCTGTAATTTATCACTGGTTTGCAGAAACCTGTTGAAATGTCTGAAGTGCTGAAATTGAAACAACTGAACTGAAAGTTGGCAACATCAGGAGAGAAAAATGACCACTGTTGCTGGTTTGACCAGGTGTAACCTGGAGTTTACTTAAGCAGACACTAATGTTGTGCAATGCAGTTTCACTCACCAGTAAAAGAGCCTCAAGGTGGCTGAGGTATGCTTCTTCTGTGGCCAAGATCCCAGACAGGACCCACTTTCTCATCTCCAAACCCTTTTCAAGGTCACACTCAGTCTGTGGAGAATAGAAACATGTCTAAAGCTTAAAAGAAAATGCAACAACTCTTATTTCATACAACAAAAGCAAAAAGAAATAAAAAAAATAAAAATCAAAGCAATCAAACAATGTTTTGCCTCCTGACAACCTAAATACATGGCATATAGTCCAACCTGTATGAAACCCTGCTTCCATATTGTTTTTTTAACAGAAAAATTTGATTAACCTCAAATGTCTTGACTGATAAACTAAAACTCATTCATCAATGATGGTAAAAGGGTGATGAATAAGACTTTGAGTGTCTATAGTTACTGGCTACCCTTGGAGGAGCTGCAGGAATGCTCAATGAAACAAAAACATCCTACAAAAAAAAAAAGAGAGACATCCTAGGCTGCTTTGCCATTCCGCCATTCCCCTGAGCTGAGTCAAAGCTCACTGAGGAGCACAGACATGAGAGAAAACAGAACAACAGAGAAACTCCTCCGGCGGTCTTGTTTAACCACAAACTCTGAAATAACTCAAACAGACAGGGTTTCTCCCATGGCTGAAAAAAGGTTGGGGCCTAAATATGTGCATGCAGAAGAAAGACACACACACAAGCTCCAGTCTGGAGGTGGAGGGATTTCAGCTCTGTAGGTAATGACGAAGAGGAGAAATGAGGGGAAAAAATAGGAAGTAATAAAATAAGCTGGCAGAGATGGATCAAAACAATAATAGACAACTTTAAAAACAATATTTAAACAGCGTATCTGAATAGGGAGCAGAAAAAAATATGTCAAGTGTGATATAGATAAAACTAGTGCCTGCAACAATCTGTGAAACTAGCTCAGTGGCGCATATGCAATATATTGCCAAATGTATTCACAGATCTATCCTCACCTGATTTTGACTGACATGACTAACTTTTGTTTATCTGAAGTCCATTTGAAGTTTGAAGGTCTGCAGCTACTGCATCCGCAGAAAGCAAGCAACATCTTAGCAGAGGCTAATGAAACGTTAGCCTCTGCTAACAGTTCATTATCGAACATTTAGTAGTAAGAAAAATTAACAGCTGGAGCCACTGCATCTTGTCATGGCACTACAGTGGAATTATTAAGCTCCTGAGATCCCATTCTTTCACAAAGCATGACTTGGAGCTTGTGGCTGTGTAAGTGCTTAGCACAACTGAAATTAATATTTTAATGGTTGAGCAAATATATTTGGCAATATAGTGTCACATTTTTATGCTATCGACGGAAAATGGTAAAAAAGATTATATGAAAAGGACATTTAAATCAGTTTTGTACATTAGCATATTCAGGTGTTGGAGTCAAGGGCCAAGTAAGGTAAGTCAATATTTCTCTTTATCATAGTAATATCTCAATAAATAAGCAAATCTTTACAGTACTTTCAATAAGAATCGCGCTACTTATTGTTGCTTTACAAAAATAGCGTACAATATGTTGCACCCTGCCTTCTACGCACACATACGGGGAGAGCTTCGATGTCTGTGGGCGTACATGCATTTATTAAAATGATGGGGCAAATGGGTTTGAAACCGGTTTCCATGGCCACTGCATAAGTAGATGCTGATGCAGATTTCAAGGAACAGTTGAGGCTGAGTAGATTATGAAACCCTCTGGGATTATTATAGACGGTGTTGTTAACCTGCAGTTTAAATGCAGGACTGAATACACTTTGCATTATGTTGCAACTCCTGCAACAGTCACATTACTATGATTTTTGTAAAAATACTACTTCACTAAAGCTAGACATTCATAATTACATTTTTAATTTTATTTAGATAGTATAGATATGCTTCTATCGTTCTCCAGACAATGAACTTAAAGATCGCAATGGATCGCATGTGGCTCCAACACCAACATCTATAATTTGTACTGCATAGAAATGTTCAGCCTACGAATCCCTGCACTACCACTTAATTCTGAAACATCTTTTACTTCTAGCTTTTCCTTTCCTTTTCTGGAATTATTAACACTACATAAAAACACACTATGCATATTTGTCCAAAGACAACATAAAGAGGAACATCATGACTGACTCTTTATTATTTCTAACAATCTGCAAAACAGTCATCATTAACTTGGAAACATTGCACATATCACAATGTCCACAAATGCACAAAAATAAATCAGTACTTACTTTTAACAATCAAACATTTTATGTAAAAGTGAGAATAACTGAATAACTGTGAGAAGTGATTAAGATTTTAAAGCACAAACTACACACTTAAAAAACAATGAAACAGTCTGTTCCTCTTCTTGTGCTTTGCCTACAAAATTCACTCCCTTGGACATTTTGCCCTGCTTGGTCCTTTTACAAGTCGATCAATTTTTGTTCCATGTTTTTATTTAATTGTCATTATTTTATTGAAATCAGTTTTCAGCAGGACATTAAAGAGTTTGATTTTTGTAAAAAAAAAAAAAAAAAAAAAAGCCACATTGTATTGATCATGATTGATTTGTAAAAGTAATTAAAAAGGCAAAATGGCCAATAAAAAAGAAATTTGATACTTTTTTATAGGCCTTGTAACAAAGCCTCATCTTTAAAGGTTTTATGCTTCAATAGTGTGATCTTTTCCTGTCTTATTTCTTTCTATTATTCTCTTCCACCCCCTTTCATGAAAGCAGTCTGACGATGGATTTTTGACAGCTTCTGCATTATGTATGACATTGTTTAGAGTTCTGCGCTGCATTGTATGTTTCTATTGCTCATTATATATAGGCACTAAAATACACATATAAAGAAAGTATGTATACAAATGTATTAAAATATTTTTTTTCTGGGCTGTCATTTAGGTGTTGCTAAAATAAAATGTAATGGATTTACTACACTCTAAAGCAGCTCATAATGAAGGCCTAAAACAAAACAAAAAAGTAGCTAGGACAATGAATAAAAATGTGTCATCACCCTCAATGCTTATAAAGTAGCATTAAAGGCCTAGCAAACATGGAGAAAACATGGAGAAAACCTGGTTACACCAGGTTAAGCATTATTTCATCCATTCAGACGACAGAATATAGAAGACTTGAGTAGATGCCCAGACATCCATCTTTTATTCATTATGCTGGCAAATAATGAGTCCGTCTTCGGGACCAACTTAAAGAGGCGTCTGTGTGCAGCATTAAAGGTACACACCTAAACAAGAAGCTCTCATGACCTGATTTGCTTCTAACTTGTTTGTGGGGGACTGAGGTTTATAGATGAAACAGTCAGATCAGTACAAAAAAAAACAAAATGGCAGCTCCATAACAGAGTTTTAACAAGATTCTTTTTTATCCCTATTGTGATTCCCTCCTATGTTCGTGTTTGCTTGGCTATTCCGTGTTGCACCTCGAACAAATACGAGGTGCAAGAAATACAAACAATTCCAGATTCTCTAGAAAGATTTCACTTCTTATGGTTATTATGTCAAAGTTTCATGTAGCCAAAGCAAGCAGGGGCATGACCTCACCAAAAGTATAATATGAAAAGCAACAATGGTGAACTTTACGAGGCTTTATGATGTTGCAGTTCTGGTAGTCAAACTTCAAAGCTAAAAAAAAAAATAAACTGCTTTATAGGTTGAGGGAGAAAGCTGTCCTTGATTTACGCTTCTGCAACTCCAGCAGCAATAAAACTGTCTTCATGATCAGTTACCCCTATTCTCCTCTTACTTTCTAATGAGAGGAAAAGTCACAATAGGAGGAAAGAAAAAAGGAGCCACTGACAAAAGTCAAGTCATCTCTGATGGTGAGTCACCACATTGACATCATAAAACCATCAGCTCACACTGGGCCAAATTGAGCCTGTTTGGGCTCCGATTCATAAATTAAAGAACGAGGCAGGAGCAATGTTTGTGGAAGACTTTTCAAAGGGCAAATAAAAAAACGATAGTTGGTCTGGCAGCCTATGAAAGTCTGTTTGACACCGCTGGGAATTTGTTAAGGGAGGATTGTTTAAGTGTTGCATCATATATTTGACTGACTTCAGAGGAGAACTGCTTTGGAGCAAAAACTGCAGTGAGTGAAACTGAAAACATTCCTCAGACACAACAGCAAATATGTTACGTGATTACGTAGTAGAGAAATACGTTAAATAATAAATGGATTTGAGCATCCTGCATAAGACATCAATAAGACATTGATGACTTTTGCAAATTTACTTTGAAGAATTAGAGTATATAATCTTAGTGATGTCCCTTTTACAATCAATTAAGACCAAACATAACATTTCTGGGATCCTAGAGGGAATGTAATCATCACGGTACTGCTAACATAGCACACTTTTGCTACCATGTGATTACAATTTTACAGTCACAGGCATCACATTCGCACTAGAATGTTTTCTTGAATTCACAACCTGTGTAATTTCCCCATAAAAATTTGACATTTCTGCACCTCCATCAGTTTCAGCATAACTGTAGGAAAGGATGACGCTGCCATAATTGTATTTGTTTTGGATGACTTAAATCTGTCAAACAAAAAAAGCAACATCCATTATTTATTGTCAAATGTAAGCTATTTATTTCAATTCTTGTGTATTATGAATGCTCTCCAGGTGTAGTAAGGTTGAAAGGTTACGAACTAAAACATCTTCATGACAACCAACACAATGATTTCACCGCTCAGAAGCCATTTTAGACTATTACTTTAAACTCTGGCACCCTTCCATTTTCCACAAAAAATTAAGAAAAAGTAGCTCTTTGGTGTTCTGAAAACTAATATGTCATTTTCACAATAACATGTAAAGAGTGTCAGATGTTGAATATTGCTGGATCTATTTTACAGAAACAGAAAGGCAGAAAGAAGAGAGCTGGAAGGATAAAGATGGTTGTAAAGTTATGGGGATGGGGAATAATTCTGCCAAAAACTCTCCCAGAAGCAATCAATCTCTGAAGGCTAATTTGTTTCTTTCTTAGGTGTCAGGTAGTAGGGTGGAAAAACATGTTTTATAGAAATGTTTTAATTTAAAGTGATAGGCCTCGAGAACCGTCAGCTGATGAAAAGTTAGAAGGTAAAAAATATTTGCCCTTTTCAGGCATTTTTGTGTATTCTTCACCTCTTCCTTTAGTTTGTTTTTACTAGAAAAGTAAAAAAAAAGTATCAGCTAATACTGATGAGAAGACATGATAGCACACTGACCGACTTGGAGGACTCCAATGATCCTGAGGAGAGTGTATCCCGGTGCTGCGGCTCTTGGAACTGAGGTGCGGCGAGGACGACGGCGAGTCGTCAATGTACGGCAGGATGTCATGGTGCCGCCGCTGCTCCTCTGCTCGGTCTGCATCGTAACCGTACGTTGGAGGAGTTCCAGTGAAAATGGCCATCTGTTAATGACAAAAACCAAACAGCAATTTAAGACCTTTAAAAGGTTTTTGAAATTGATGCTGCAGCATTTCTGACATGCAGATGCTGATGTGACTTTTGGGCTAGCGGAGCATCCAAATCTTTAATTTTCCTGATTCAGGCTTCCAGAGTTCTTGGTTTATTTTTAGCCATTTCTTAAAGTATAAATACTAAAGTTCACATTGAATCCACAGCAAATATTTCTACAGTCATTAGGCTTTAAATTTGGGGCTCTAAGGAAAGGGACTGCTGAACTGATTGATGGATAGATGGTAAAGTCAAACTGCAGACTTGTTCCTGCAATAGAACCATGATTAAAATTTGCTTACCAAGACCTAAAAACTGTCACTTAAATATTGTTAATGCATAGCCTGTGCAAAAACAAAATGTGCATAAAATCCTTCACTTTTATTACAGACATCAAAGCATCCTTGACCTACAAATCAAAATTAATTCTCATTATTTGAGGTTTTCTGCACGGCAGTGCATTGAGACAAAGACATGAAGTTGTGCATTGCATTTACTGATTGGCTTCGCGCTCTCAGAAGGTTGCCAAGTCTGGTAGAGTTAATTTCCAACTCTAATTAGAGTAGCTCAGGAAACTGGGGCACATAAAATTAATTTCTCCTGCATCTTTGTTCATACACCATAAACCATAAAAAGGAAACACCTGAGAACGAAAACTCAAAACTGCTTAAAGTAAAAAAAAAAAGTAGGATATAGTTTGGATCATTAAAATGTATTATTGATTTGAATTTTAACAATGGACATTAATTACTTATACAGCAATATATGATTCACTTGAAATGGCCAGAACAAGAACAAAGATCAGTGAGCTGTTTGTTCAGTAGATCAGTGCAGGATGTGTGACAGATAAATTAAAGACAGAAAAATAACTCTTAAAAGAACTTTTTGAAGCGCCTAAAAGTTTTTCATAGCCAATATGTGGGGTTTTTTTAAATTATATGCTCTGTAGTTGCTTTTGCACACTGTACGAATTCACAAGTGTCACACTAAAACATAATGCTCAACTTTATTGCAAATTTACCTTTCCACAACATTCATATGTTGCAACAATCTCTTTGAAGTAAACAACACAGAAGGAGGGCATTCAGTGTCAAAGCCTTATGCCCACCCATGATTTCCAAAGCTCACTGTTGTTGATGGTGATGCCCGCTGCGCCTTCTTTGACCAAAGGCATGCTGCCAGAGGAAACAACCCAACACAGAAACTCTGTGTGGGGCAAACAGCCTCTTCCCACAATGTCAAACCTTTCAGCAAACCATAGTTCCCAGTGACGCTTGCAGAGTCATTGGTGGTGTAAAAATACCGGGTGGGGTTTTTAAAATACCCAGTCGAAAATGAGTGAGTGCGGTACTAGCATGTTTTTCTTTCTGGGTTTTCTAGCTCTGCCTCAGTGCATTAATAGTAGCAGGCATTCAAAAAAGGAGCTTTTTGAGAAATAATTTTGCAGCTGTTTCTTCACAACACTGAACATATTCAGAGCATTTTACTATTTAAATTCTAACTTTGTTTGGAAAATGCCATTTCTGGAAATGATGGATGCAGTTTTAATGTAACAGAGTCCAAAGAAAACACAAAAGTCTTAAATATTGGCGAAAACAACTATTTGCGGTTGTAAACACCTCAGAATAGAAATGGGTGCTATGATAGTAAATAAAAGTAATTAAACATAAATGAAATTATTTTTCCATGGCTATGTTTACATCATGTCTTGGTTCAGATTGGCCTGAACCACTTTTTTTTTCTTCTTTTTTTACATCACTTTTTATGAATATTTTACGTGGGTTTTCACCCATTTGTTGCCTCTACTGACATCTTTGTTTCCCCCCCCCCTCCTCTCAGGCTCCATGGACATCTCACATAAAGAATATAAGCACCAAATACCACTGAACAAAACAAAAACAGGCAACCAAATTCAACCAAACCAAATTCAAGTTCCAGCAATAAAAGTAAAACACACGTGTAAACTTTCCTCTAAAATGCGTGGATGGAAACAGCATTTGGGAGGGGAACAGTTAGGGCACGTTCCTGCAGAAGGCGGAGAACTACAGTAACACTGGCATCCGCCTAACTGAGTGTTAATGACACTGATGGTGACATGAGGCCACTGAATGTGGGAACTGGTATTTGTACAACTGTCGATATTAAAATATTAATAATAATCTTAAAATCTAACTCTCTGGAGCTGATTAATCAAAAATAGATTTACAAAACCATGAAGTGTTGGTGTGGATAAGGAAATGAGAAATCAAGATATATGGGTACTTGTTTTTCATATCATTTTATCCCTGCATTACAGATAACTCTTTTACTCTGCAACTTGTTTTTCCTCCGTCTTGGCCACATTTACAGCATATCGACAAGCTGCTGTAGTGCGAACGCAAGCAAGTATTGACTTGCATTATCTATTTTCACATATACACAGAATTAAAGGCTTTGTTTGAGTTGAAGATCCATGGCCAGGAGACAAACAAATTGCAGTGGTTGATAAAAAGAAAAAGGGGGTGAAAAGTGTAACCATCAGAAGAAAGCCCAGAGACAATACAGCACCCGAGAGCCATGATATTGAAGCAAGGAGGTGATTCTCAAAGGAGGAATAAGATATCCTCGATAGCGAGTTTCCTTTCCATCCCCCCATCAGGCTTTCCCCTCAGAGTGCCAGTCATAAATCTGTTCTGCCTGCTGACGCCTTTATTGAACCTTCAGAACAGGACTGTCATTCAAACATTACCATTTTAAGCTCTTCCTCAAACACAAATACATTCACACACTTACCTCAAAGCTCTGTGCAGCCCTATAAGAGGCTGGCTTTACTCAGAGCTTTCCTTCCTAATCCAGCCTTTTGATGAGGGAGGAGAACATAATCATAAGATGTGTTTTGAGACGCCCTCCCACCCCACCTAAGATCTGATTCAAATTCATCGTGCTTAAAGGGTACAGTGGATTCTTTGGAGGTTTAGTCTGTATGCTGGAGATAAATAACGTGGATCCCTGATGACCAAATAAACAGCAATTCTCGTTACTGCTTAGCAGACATATTGTATAAATGTATCATTTATGGAGCTTAGGGAGTAGATTGTGTTCCCCCGTGTTTCCCCAGCCTTTACATTTCCAATTTAGAGATAATTTAGCACAAAAGAAAGGGGGTTGGGATAGAAGTGAAAGAAGAAAGCTGCAGAAATTAAAGAACATCTTCAGCTTTGCTAAAGGGGACAGCTCTACCACCAAGCCATTTTCAGTTTTTTTTTTCTTCTTCCTCTAATCCTCTTGTGATTGCACAGCGATGTGACAGTAGTTAATTTGATGAATGTGGCAATGCTGTCAATAAACGTCAGACAGAAAGTCATAAACTGTGCTACATCCACATTGACAATTAGATGGCCTTTAGAGAGAAAAACAAGAATGTCGATGTGATCATCTCCCAAGTCAAACTGCATCAAGCCAAGGTATTGTTTTTGGATCAGATTGGAAAATCTTGGTGAAAATAACCCAGAATAAGAGCAGCTGATTTTAAGAATAAAGGTGGATTTATTTGTAAAGTAAGTTTTGAAGATGGTGACTCTTTGGAAATACGTTCCAACAAATACATCCATCATTTAAACCCAGTTATCCCTGCAGGGTTGCGTGGAGGCTGGTGCCTATCTCCAGGGTGAACAAGTTGCCAGTCTATCACAGGGCAACACGGAGATATGCAGGACAAATAACCATGCACAAACTCACAATTTAAAGTAACCAATTACTCTAAACTCCTCCCATTGTCCAAAAACAGAACGTGAAGAAAACCCACAGACGTTCAGGAAGAATTCTGTGCAGAAAAAAGCTTTCTTGCTGAAATGTTCTTTAAAGACAGCAATAAATGAAAAAAAACATGTGAAAACTATAAAAATGGATGACACAACAAACCAAACATTTGTGTCAGTATGCCTCCATTCTGTGTTTTCCTCCCACATTTTCTTTAATCAAAAAAAGACTAATAGGAGACCTTTCTTTTTTTTTCAACTCAGGCAGATGTTCAGTAGACGCACCTACCGTTCTTATCCTAGGAGACAAACCTTTGATTCTATAATCGGCTACCCTGTCTTCCCCATCCGCTGCTAAAGTCATTAGGAAAGAGACTCATATTCCAGCCCCTGAAGCAATATCTGGGAAATAAGTGCTTAAATTGCTGAAAAGTCACACAGACATTCTGATTAATATTATAGCACGCTTAATCACCAGCTTCACTCAATATGGAAGCTGCTCATTAGAAATCTGTTTTTACAACCAAAGATAATAAAATATTATGAAAAATAGAAATGCTTTAGAAGTAGACTAAGGTAAATTTTATTGGGGTAGACATTCTGAGAGCACGGTTTATTCATTATAAAGAACATTTTGCTTCTCTCTCAACTTTTCATCGTTTTTCTTCTTAATTTCTCTTGGTCTCTCTGTTTTCTTTTTCTTTTGACGGAGCAGGAGCCAGTTCACAATCTGACCACAGCAGTAAATCTCGAGGGCAGACCTCAGTCCTCTGACACGCTAAGTAATGCCCTATGAGCACCGTGATCATCACGCGTGTTTCTGTGTGGGAGGAGAGCAACCTCATTAATTTTATCTACACTGAAGCTGCCACTTAAATCTCCATGGTTTTCAGAATAACAGTCAGTACCTTATCATTGCTAATGTGTGGCTTTTGAATGCATGATTTCATCCAAGAGAAATCTAACTCTTCTTTATTTTCGAATATAAAATAGTAGAAGTATATAAGAAGAGTCCTTTTAAGCCACTATGATATTGGAAAATCTAAAAAATGGGAATATTGTTTATTATAGCAGATAAAAAGTTAAAGATAACTATCACATGGGAAACAAATCCAGATCCATCATGACATAATATGAAATATGCCAAGTTTCCAGCAACTATCTGTTTAAAACTCACCCTGTTGGAGCTTTTGACCACCAAACCACCATCTTTGATATTGGAACAATACATTACATCAACTTGTTTCTTTGTAACAAGTCCTAAGTTAAAAAAAAACAAAACAAAAACAACAACTTTTGAAATGTATGTAAACTTATTTTGAAGACATTCATGAAAAAAACTCTAACATATTTGTTCTCTCATGATCATGGCATTTAGCAAACACAACTTATTTTGGTAATTTTGACCTAAAACAAGAAGCTAAATTAAAATAATTAAGACACGTGTGCGCTCACTCTGTTGTCTGAGACAGTGGAAATAAAGCATCAGTTTCTCTCAATAGATGATTATAATGTCAACTTTTTATTTTGTTTGCTAACTAGAAAGTTTGAAGACAGAACCGCTCACGAGCTTCGCTAGCTATGGAAATCAATCTTTTTTGGGGAATGTTATCACACAATGGCAGGCGTTTGATCATGTTAATGTGTCTGGGGCTGTAAAAGGCATTCAATACTTGTGAGCAAAGGTTAAAGGTTAAAGAGTTGGAGAAAACAGTGAGATCAGTGTTTCCTTGCTTGGGGAAAGAGGAGGCAGCAGAAATCTTATAATTTAGAATGATGGCTTTTTATTAAACAACATGATGCAACTCAAAGTAGATTGAAGCTTGCTTAAAAGTCATTCTGTTTTCATCTCAAACCTCCCATTCATCAGCAAAGTTATTGAAAAAACTGTGTGTAAACAATTAAATAGTTTCCTCATGATGACCAACTGCTTTGACACTTTCCAGTCTGGTTTTCGTGCTCACCACAGCACGGAGACTGCCCTCGTAAAAGTATTCAATGATATCCATATAAATACGGACTGTGGGAGAACCACAGTGCTGGTTCTGTTGGACCTCAGTGCAGCTTTTGACACTGTCGACCATGATATATTACTGAATCGACAGGAGAGTTGGGTTGGACTCTCCCGTTCGGTGCTCGACTGGTTTAAATCTTACATAAAGAACAGGGATTTCTTTGTTTCAATTGAAAACTTCTTATCAAAGAGGTCAAAGGTCACATGTGGGGTACCCCAAGGTTCAATCCTAGGACCCCTCTTATTTAATATTTATATTCTCCCACTAGCTCAGGTCATAACAGGAAATAATATTAGCTACCATAACTATGCGGATGACACACAGCTCTACATTACGATGTCACCAGGTGACTCTGAACCCATCCAATCACTGAATAAATGCTTAGAGCAGATAAATGTGTGGATGTGCCAAAATTTTCTCCACCTAAATAAAAACAAAACTGAAGTCATTATTTTTGGACCTAAAGAGGAACGATATAGAGTCAATGCACAGCTTCAGTTATTACAACTAAAAACTAGAGATCAGGCCCGAAACCTGGGAGTAGTGATGGACTCGGACTTGAACCTCCAGAGCCACATAAAGACAATTACAAAGTCAGCCTTCTATCACCTGAAGAACATCTCCAGGATTAGAGGACTAATGTCTCAGCCAGATCTAGAGAAACTCATCCATGCGTTTATCTTTAGTCGCATTGATTATTGTAACAGCGTCTTCACAGGCCTGTCCAACAAATCAATCAAACAGCTGCAGTTGATCCAGAACGCTGCTGCTCGCGTTCTCACTAAAACCAGGAAGATAGAGCACATAACACCAGTTTTAAAGTCCCTCCACTGGCTCCCTGTAGCTCAAAGAATAGATTTTAAAATACTGTCATAAGTTTACAAATCACTGAATGGTTCAGCACCACAATATATCAAAGATCTGCTGTTGTTGTATCAACCTTCCAGACCTCTCAGGTCTTCTGGTTCTGGTCTGCTCTGCATCCCCAGAACCAGAACCAAGAGAGGAGAAACAGCTTTCAGCATCTATGCACCAAAACTTTGGAACAAACTTCCAGACAACTGTAAAACAGCGGAAACCCTGACTTCTTTTAAATCACAACTAAAAACACACCTGTTTAGAGTTTCATTTGAAATGTAATATGTAACAATGTATTGTCTATTATATGTTGCATGACTTTGTATTCTCGTGTTTATGATGTAAAGCACTTTGAAATGCCTTGCTGAAATGTGCTATACAAATAAAATTTGATTGATTGATTGATTGATTGATACTGAGTCTATGGATGAGTTGGTTCACAGTGTCTGTTTATAGAGGGTCACCTGGTATTTGTGGGGTTTAGAGACCAAATCCAGTCGTAACCAGCAAATAAAAGTATGTGTGTCCAAAAAACACACATACTTTTACAATTTTACATCCTTCTATGTTTGCTGCATAAGTTAAGAGAGAAAAAAATGCCAGTGACTGGAATTTTCTTCAGACTCCATTAACTCAACATTCTCCGTCCACCAAATTGTTGCTGAACACTCCCGATCAGCTGGCTGAAAGTGATTGAATAAAATTTACTCTCACTTACAATTCAGGTGAAAAAGTTCTTTGTTTGAAATATTTGCTCTATAAGGTAATAAATGCAATGTAGCTCTAAAAAATTACGGCACTATGGAGGTGTTAATCTAATGCTCACTTAATACTAACGTAGAAATTAAGCTCTATGTCTGAGTCTTTAATTTTGATGGAGGTTGTGCACTCTGACATCTGGTTTTAGTTTAATATAGTTGTAAATAAATTAGAAAAATCAACACAAACATAAATCGAGTTAGATTTTTGTCATAGTTCATTAAAAGCACTTCAACATCTAATAAACAATAAGCTACACACTGAGAATACATTTCTTGTTTGCCACTGTAATGCTTCTACAAGCTTCTACAAGAGTTCATAATTTGCCATTTTTTCATGTTGTGAACCTGCTGAGGTTTTAATTAGGATGTGATTACGGCACAAGCTGTTTATGACACATGAAAGGTGAAAGAACTACAGTCCATTTTAAGAACTGGCTGATTCTCTACTGGTAAAGCTAAACCAGACATATTTTGAATAATTGTAGAGCGAGAAAACTATTACATCAGCATAATGCAAGTCGATTATTTTTTTCTATGTGGAGACAAGTGGCTCGACCAAAACACAAATCAGTAGGCTATACACTCATTGGTGAAAAAAAAATACATGAAAAAAGCAGGATGGCTGAAATCATTCCCCAGACACAAGGCACAATTTCAGCGTGATCATTTATTCTGTACAGTATAATGGTCAACAATCAGAGAATATGTGCTCCAGGCATGGTGTTATCTCCGATCACATCACCCTGGCTACAACCCCCAGAGTCCCGTAATGCAGATAATATTACCCTGCTGCTGGCAGTGCTGTTCGGATTGTCTCCTAGGAACAAAGCAAAAGGCAAACAACTGCACTCCTGCCACACTCATGACTTCATAGTAGAGTTGTTGATTTTTGTCTTTTAACAGATAGTTAACTAGGTGGAAAATCAAAGCTTTTCAGGTTTTCCCAATAGAGTTGTGCACAGATGTTTTTTTAGATTTTGTGACACAAAAGACTTTTCTTTGTTAGTAGCTTGACAAAAAGAAGGTCTCAGAATAGGTACCTCTATAGTCTACGTACCATTGAGCCACGCAGACCCTCTGTAGTATTTATAACTGGATAAGTTAAACCAATTGAAGCTCACATTAAGTTATGCCATTTTTAGTCATTTTTGTTGCTGTATCTGAAAAACATTTGGAGAAACTGAAGCAAATTCAAAACGAGGAGAGTTGTGTCATTTCCCTTGAGGGTAGAAACTACTTTTCACAAGTTCATACATTTGCACACACATCTATGTCCTCATGGGGAGTCGCTTTTGATAATTTTCTGTTGCTTTAAGCTTATTGAAGTAGCTTGCAAAAACCTTAATTCCTCTTGAACTCTTTAAAATTCCCATGTCATTTTAGATATATAAACTTTAATGGTTTTATGTGTTGATGTTAAAGATGAAAGTGGTACAGTTGGGAAATAAAGGCTTTTCAAAAACCTGAAAAGTGTGGCTTGCATATATATTCAGTGCCATTCTGAAACCCCTAAAGAAAATCCAGTGCAGCCAATGTTGTGTATGTTTCAAAAGAAAAGTCCACTTCCATGTAATTTGATCTGCATATACACAAACATAATCATGACAACAAAGTTACCCAACAACAGGTTAAGGAGTGGTATTATGAAGAAGTTCTTATGGGTTTTTTTGAGGGAAAAAAGTAATATTATAAGCGTTAAAGATTTCCCACAGTACTCTTTAATCTATCATTTGAAAATCAAAACCACTCCATGACCAATAGATGAAATACTGGGAAATCTAATGGTGCTGAATGGATAAATGGAAAAGAAAATCACAAAAACTAAAACAACTAAACAATTTTTAATTGTTTTTAATTCACTTCCATGGAATTTGATGGAATTTGATCTTTAATTCAACTCACGAATATTCAGTCTTGAGTTGAATATTACTCAACTCAAGAATGACTTAAAATGTCAGAAAGGGAAACCAGGGAACAGAGAAATAGGAGCAATAGCGAAAACAGGAAGTACACAGAACATAAAGGAACCAAAAACACCAAGGGAGAAAAAGAAGCTGAGATTTTCTAAGAGAAACTTAACTTTGAAAAAAACTGAGAGGGATGTGAATTGAAAAGCAAGACTGAAAAAACAGAACATAAATATACAATTTACACCGACCATGTAAAGAACTCCTGAGTTTGAGACTGGCGGTCTACACAAAACCCTTAACATCATGACATCTGCTCATATGGGATTAAAATACATTTTTTGGACAACATTCAAAACTTTACTCTGGATAGGTGAAATGCATGCCACACTTTTCAGATTTAGATTTGTAAACACGTCTAATAAACACAATTTTCCTTCTTTTCCTTTAGTTTGATTGAGTTTAAATTGGCCTACAACATCCTAAAAAGTGCTTTATAATTTGATGAACAATTATTGTATTATTGTAAATATCCTGCCATAATTCAACCATCCAATCTGAAAAGTTATCATATTGTATTTGCATGTCTTGGTTTGCAGCAGGAGTCTTTTATTTACACAGATTTATTAAAGAAAATCAATCTAATAATGCAGCAAAAGTGATTACTGATTGTAAAACTCCACTTCATCTGCAATTATTGGTTGTCCATCCACACAAACAAAAAGATCTGAGTCTTGCTTCACTGTATGTTATGCATATGCCATCCTTGCGTTCTAGGGGCTCACACCCCCAATGAATAATACAAGAAAAAAAAAACACCACAAAAACAAACATGCTTTCTGTCAGTTTAACTTTACACTCTCATGTCCCTTGGCTGCTGGCTCAGACTCAATGGCCTGCAGCAGCGCTTATCATCGTTGAACAGCAGAACGAGCATAAAGCTCCGGTCTGCCTAATCTCTGGTCAAACACAAACCACAGCCTCAACGCTGCTTACGGCAGTAAACCGCTGCTTTATGCTGAAGCTGTAGCTGTTCAGAGGGACACGCATTAGGACTTTGCTAAATGAACCATAGAAATGCGGCAAAGCCTGTCTCCAGGGTAACTGTTGCCAGGGATACCGTGGCTAACAGGAAGAGGATGTTGTTAGCGGTTAGGCTACCTGTAGGGATGCTCAACACACCTTTATTGACACTATACTTGAAACATATTTCCTCATTGATTTCCTTTCTTTTAGTCTTGTAAAAAAAAAATGTGTTTGCATTTTTTCATTAATAAACATCAGACCTAGATTACCTGAGTAAGCAGAACAATTATTAAAATATTTATTTCATTCAGATAAATAACTATCCAAACCAACCAGGTTTAATACAAGAAAATTATTCTCCACTATCTAAATAAATAATGAACAAATGTTTACTAAATAGACGTCTGATTATTGCCAGACCTGTAAAATTAAGAACTAATTTAAACAGAACTTGTCTGACAGCATGAAGTAGGCCACAAGACCTTGTGTAACAATTAATCATGCCTTGAAAAAACTTTTTTTTTAATGGAAGAACAAGTATGAAAAAAAAAAACTCAATGATATTCATCAAGCTAGAAAAGCATTTATCCATGTATGAGAACATGGAGCACCAGGGAACCTTCCCATTACTCCAACAACTCCACAAAAAGGCCACAGAAGAACATAAAATATCATATGAAGAACTGTAGGCATCAAACATTTCCCCTTCATGGAAATATGATTTGAAACATCTAAATGTAGAAAAAAGACAGCATCTCTTTACAGCATTAGCATTGTATTTCCTGAAAGCTGTCTGAGGAGAATATATTTGGAAATGCTGTTTTAGATCACGATTGTGCTATTGTAAAGATGTCTTTACAATACACAACAGAGCGGTATGAGCTGGATATAGTTAGCTGTCAACATCCATTCAGTGCGTGTCACACCCGATTTGATTGCTGCACAATGTTTATGTGCTGGTATCAGTTCAGCTCTAATTACTTGCTCTCTTCAGTCCCCCTCTTTACACTGGAACTGTGCCAATCCGTTTCCCAGTTTCAAGAACCCCACCATCAATTACCTGATCCATCATTCACAGGTCCCCATGATCATTCTACAATCTGCACATTCAATTGACATACATTGTGTGCCCCTGACGAGCAGTGAAAAGATTGAGTAGCGCACGCACACACACTAATCAGGAAACGTACAGCGACCTCTCAGACTTTCGACATTAATGTGGATGCACAGGCATATTTTGCCAAATGAGGACAGTGAATAATTAGGGAGATGAAAAGCAGAGTTTACACAGACAGTCATTTCAATTATCCCAGCTCCTTTGGCAGTCTGGCAGCTGCCGTCTCTGAAGGTTACGGGCACAGCTCGCCACAGTTAGGTCAAGACGATTATTCCCACTTCCATAAACTTCAAAAACAACTCAAACATTTTGGATGGATACCAACAGATACTTTAGATGATAGGATGAACAATGGCATGGGGCCAAGCCAAGCAATAATGGATATACGATCTTTAATAAATATATTTACAGTGACTGAAAGCAAGACCAGGCAGGGAAGCACAGCAAAAACACTACATACACCTATGCTAATGTGTGCTCTTTTTTCTGCTACCATCTGGTGATGAAAGCAGGCATATTCTTTTCATAACAACTCAATGTCATATCATTAGTTAACACCTACTCATCTGTGCAAGCGGAGAGTGTTTTCAAAACAGGAAAGTATGGCTTCTTTCATAAACACTGCATTAATGAGCACATGGTTTGAAACAGAAGCTCTGCTATAAATGACATAAATGAGAATATACCTCAAATGTGTCTTTCTGATAACACTATGAAACATATTTTCAAACCTCAAATAAAGCAGCTCACACAAAACTTGGACTGATCAACTTTTCAGGCAAATCTTAATCAAAAAATTTTAATCCGAGTGATAAAGGCAACATAAAAAAAATACAATAAAAAATGCATAACTGAAACCCGAAAGGGGAGTTATTGGGGGTGATTAAGTCAAGTTTCAAACCTGTCGGTCAGTCTCTGGAAGGGTGGAAGGTTACCAGAGCATCAGCCTATCATCGCACTCCTTTCATTGCTTTCAAATAAAGAAGAAACATCCAGAGTGGTTCTCCAAACTCCACACATGCCTGTTAAAATGCATTAAGAGTGCAGATCCTTAGTTTGATATTTTGTTGAAGCAGATTTTAATTTAAATTCAGCTTTCAGTTCTTTGTATGAGTTTGTCATCATGCCACGTCTTCACTTCAATATTTCTCCACTGGACTTTCTATCCATCAGACTGTGAGGACAGGCGGCACCACACATTTTCTGAAAGACTTTGATCTGGATTCCAACTTGGACATTCCAAGCCTTACACTTTTCTCTCTTGAAGAAATTCTTACAATGATTAGAATATTGTTTGGACTTATCACAATCCATCTTCATCTGCAGCTTTCAAACAGAAACCTTCCTACCTAATGAAGCCAGTTGTTTAAGGTGCAGGTGCTGTGTCTCTTCTTTTGGTCTTTAGACACTAGCTTAAACAACCCCTCTGCCCCCGATTCATTACATTTAACCTTTCAATTGTATTTCTAATGAAGCAATCTCTCTGTCCCCCAAACTGAAAACTGCATTTTTCCAACCCCAAATGAGAACAAGCAGGTTCAAAATGGCCCAAAGAACATTTCAGAGTCAGAATTGCATATGGGATTGTTTCTCTTTGGCAGGTGGTTTTTGGTTAGAAATTGTGTTAAACAGGGGTTGGAAATATTTCAGCTTAGTTTGATATGTGCGAAACCAGAGTCCAGAACAAACTGTGTACAAATCAATGATTTTATGTACTGCTCTTGCACAAAAAAGCTAATGTAGAAAGAAAAAGTTGGTCAGAAATAA